GAGCTTATAATTAAGCATATGGTTATGATCTTGTGTATAAAGTTTAATTCTTCAAGCTACCACACTTAGTAGCTGTTCTACTCCATTCTATCATCTCACAACACTTATAGATATCTTATAGAAATATATAGTCATACTATCTGCCATGATATCACTTCATTTTGATCTTTAAAATTAAAAATCATTGAAATAAAAAAGATCTCCCAGCCAGAATTACACTTCCAACCTCTACCCAATAAGGCAACTGCTCTCTCAAAATGCGCAATTTGCCACCTCAGACCCAACTGGAGGGAGGAGTAAGTACACATACACTTCTTTCACCTTAAACATCACCATTTCTGTTTACAACATGCTTCACAAGTGTAACTTCTCCAAGTCTTCACGAAGATTTAGCTTGCCCCTGATCTTTCACCTTGCTTGCTACCCAATTAAAGCTAAGCTGCATGAAATAGATCCTGTAGAGTTATCTCTACATACCAATGAGGGTACTGAGATTCATAAGCTGTGTAGCTATATGCTTGAACTATTAGAGGACTTCTGGCACAAGGAATACATGTGCACATCATATCACAACTTTTAATGCCGACTCATGAAGCAACGTGATGCCTCATAATGGGTTGGACTAGCACTGGCTCATGATGCCTCACAAGGCAAACGCTATCCTCATGAGATTCACACAAAAAGTGCTTGAGCGAGCCCGAAGAGGCTAGATTAGCCATGGAAAGCTTTTCGAAAGGGTATTTTATTCTCACAGGTGTCCACAAAGACTTTTCATTGGCTCAGGAAGCACCCATGATGGCATCACAAGGCTTCAGCCAGGAGTGCCAAGGCAGCTCGAGGCAGCTATCTCATGAGGCAATTTCAAATTTTGCAACACATGTGGGATTAGTAAGATCATTGGTAGAAGTAGAAATATAACCTATTCTGATTTGCTCCTTGTATACTCCTTATACAGATGGCAAAGGCAAGGCATCATAAGTGGACCTGTTGATAAGAGAACTCCACTAGAATGGTTACATGCCAACACAAGACAAATAGCCAATACATCATGCAATAGCTGTGGTACCAAGCTAGTGAAGAAAGTAATCATAGATAATATGCCTTAATTTCTCAAGTTCAAAGTTGATGAAGTTACTGTTGAGTGGACTTCTATACTGGACTTAAACAGGTGCAAGTACAGGCTATGTAAATTTATTTATTATGGCAATGAGCACTTTACAGCCAGGATAGTTAGTGCTAATGAGCAAGTATGATATAATGATGGATTGAAGCATTGTAGCCTATATCACTTAAAATCCCAGCTTTGTAGCATGAAACCAGCCCAACTTGCTAATAGTCCAGATGGCCATAAGTTGGCCTTTGGATTTTATAGTCAAATATTGTAACTGAACAGTATAATAGGCTGTAACTTATTATTATTTATGTGATAGGCACATTATTAATAAGATTCATATAATAAAATGATAAAGAATTGCTATCAAAATATCTTGCAAAGTAATAAAGTGATGTATACCATATATAGCTTTAAGTCTCATATAAATAGTAAGCTATTATAATATCTAAGTTATTATCACTTACATTGCAATATAGAAGAAATAAAGAAATTGTACCTGCCAAGCATATATGCTATAGCCCATATAATCCTAGTATTCTTGAGAGTGCAATCGAGATAGGCTAAATGATCACGAAGTTTAAAAATGGCATTTAAATTGTCACTGCTGACATCAACCAATTCAATGGTTTCGAAAACGTTGAAACGCTTGAGTGTGACTGAGAAGCAGGGTGCAAAGATATGGGCAAGGTCAGCAGTAGTGTGTTTGGAGAAGTCGATAGTGATCAGCTTAAAAGTGATGGAGGTGTAAGTCGGGGCAGTGGTGAGACAGTTGGCTAATGACTTGGAGAAGCTCGCACTAGTGTGTGCATTGCGTGCTGCATTAGCTGCTGCTTAAGTGATCATTTGTTGCTTGCAAAAGAATTGGTGATCATTGTAAGCAGTGAGTTTAGCAGTTTTGATAGCATCCAAATTGATAGTAAGAATTGTTGGCAGTGGTGGGAGCATTGAAATGTGCTTGACTATGGTGCTGAGTTTGTGTGTGATGTACTAATGTGGCATTCCTGCCTCGTGCTCATTGTGTAACTTGTTGAAGACAGCTTTGGGGAGCAGACAGCAAAGTTGAGAGGTACACGTGGCAGTAGCACTTTCAGTGGCCCTGAAGCGTTTGGGCAAACCCTTGAACATTAGAATTAAGCAGAGATTAGCGCTAGAGTGTGTACGTCTGCCACTAGTCACCGAAGAAACTTACTCTTTAAACGTAGGGGTGAATAAACTTGTTTTAAACTGTGCACAGAGCACGGAATAAAGGATAGTTCAACTGCACAAAGATCTTGACCTAATGTCGTAGAGCAGAGCTCAACACTTCATGAGAGAGCAGAGATTGCAGATGACAGTGACAAGGTGGTGTGAACGATGGTCTCACAACTTCAGTCTAACTTGTACAGCTAGCTCAATTGACAAAGTATATTATGTGTTAGTAATGTAAAGGAGACAGATAATTAATAGGCTTACCTAGCCCAATTGACCAAAAGGTTGAGATGGAGGCTAGGTAGTGATAGAGTCCTACTTTATATACTGCTGGGACTGCGCATAGACTAGGCATTATATAAGCTACAGGTTGCTGGAGTAGTCAGGTGACAGCATAGAAGTGTAGGCCGGTGAGTCATGGTATCTGATGTATCCGGGCTGATGAAAGTCAGAGGTTTGATGCCAATTGGACTCCGATGGAAGAGGGTCAGCATTGGTGACATGTTGTCAAGCCAATGTAAGTCAGATGTCTGATGCAAATTGGACTTCTGATGAAGACCGCTGGAGAGCTGTGTAACAGCTTCTCTAATGGCGGTATTGTGTCAGCATGCTGAGTGTACTGATGCGCTTGATGCGCTGTGAGGGCATGGGAGTAAACTGGTGCTAACACGAGGGTTTTGGGTGTCACTGATGATAGAAGCATCATAGAAACTCAGGGAAAATCATAGAAAATATGGGAAAATTACAGAGCAAGGCTATGCCCACAACACCTCCCTCTTCACAGCCTTTGCACAGCCTACTACACAGGTTTGCACAGCCAGCTTATGTCAGCTTGGTTTAAGTGCAGCTTTGTACAGTATATAAGTTTTAGATAGTTGTAGTTCTAGCCTTACTTCAACCCCTTGGTCAATTGAGCTAGATAAGCCCTCTAATTACTTGTTCCTTTACTCTACTAACATCTAATATACAGTGGCCACCAAATATAGTGCACAACACTACAAAGGGGTGTTGTAATCCCTCTGTATTTCCACAACCACTGTACTTAGCCAGATAGTATATATAAAAATTTTATACTAGACTACTATTAGCATTCTTCTGAGATATCACTTTAATGCAAGCACCAGGTGCCAGAAAAAATGTAGTGAAAATGGCTGGAAAATGAATATATATTGTAAAATTTATAAAAGGACACAGAACCCAGAGAGAAATATGATTAAGTTTTAGTAAAATCCTATGCTGTATGATGTTACTGTAACAAAATCAGAGCATGATAACAAAATTGGATGAATGAGCTGCAGTGACAACCATATTCATTACAAAATAAAGAAATGTATGCTTGTATTCTATAGACATTACTAGCAGCTGGAATATCTATAATGGTATACTGAATGTATCTGCTAGTAAAGATTATTCTGTACAGGAAATTTTGTATCTCTATTTCTGAGTGTTGTGGAGATATAAATATACAGATTTTTTTGGTAAAACATACCAATGTAACTGTCTCCACAGCTTATTCATGCAATTTTGTTATCATGCTCTGATTTTGTTACAGTAACATCATACAGCATAGGATTTTACTAAAACTTAACCATATTTCTCTCTGGGTTCTGTGTCCTTTTATAAATTTTACAATATATATTCATTTTCCAGCCATTTTCACTACATTTTTTCTGGCACCTGGTGCTTGCATCAAAGTGATACCTCAGAAGAATGCTGATAGTAGCCTAGTATAAGATTTTTATATACACTATCTGGCTAGGTACAGTGGTTGTGGAGATACAGAGGAATTATAACACCTCTTTGTAGTGTTGTGTGTTATTTTTAGCGGCCACTATACCTGGTCAATCAGGCTAACTGCACAAGCTTGCATGAAGTTGTGAGACCATTGTTCACACTGCCTCTTTTGTTGTTTTTCACTTAGGTAAGCTCTCTTATGTAGTGTCAAATCTAGCTCTACAACAGTCACATGCTATTGTGCATGATGATTTTAGTCTGCACATGTGTTCTGAGTCATGCATGTCACTCTCAGTAAGAATGCAGACTGTGGATGTGGGCAAAAAGTGATACATTCTGTTATAACAGTACTGTATGTTTAAGAGACAATTATGAAAGAATGCAAAACTGAATATAGGCACTCAAGTTAGGCAATTGTCAAGCGGCAACTAACAGCCCTGTCTTCGTGACATTGTAGCCTCACACCTTACAATGGTCACAAATGTTCAAGTTCTCATTTCTTTGCATTTTGAGGGGTTGAGCCTCTATGTACATTAATATATGTTCTCCAGCTCTTTAAATTGCTTCTCCATACTGATATAAGATGTATATATATATATTCAGAACCATTCACGTATGTTTTAAGCTGTGTAGAAGGTATGGAAAAATATGTTTATAGTGCCCTTTTTAAATTTGAACATCATTTGGTGCACAGCATAATATGAAGGCTATGAAAGGCTCTACAAATCCACACCTAAAGAGAAGATTATTACACTATTCACAAGCAAACCAAAGTGGAGCAAGAAGAAAAGGGCAGATGTTAATGTCAAGGTTATAAAGTAGTATAGAAAATTAATATTATATATATAATTTTTGTAAGTCTTTGTGTAAGTATCTGTGGATATACCAATACTGCATGAAGAGTTTACTTGGAGCTGCACTGATCCATGAAAACCAGGTGAGTTGAATCTGCAAGTGCCTGTACCCACAAATATTTCTGCAGTTCCACTTCAGAATACTTGCAAGTTTAGATGACTCATGCCATGCTTTAGAGTATTGCTAACACACATGGTTTACAAGACCAGATTTGCAAATGAAGAGCATTTGTTGCACATATAAGTTTTGCAAGTTTGTTCCATGTGAATCCCATGCACTCTGAACCCTGCAGTGAGGTTTTAGCAAACCAGTTACATAGCACTATGATGTACAACCTAACAGTGAGGCAAATAGCTCATCTATCTGTTCATCATGCCATGCACCCTTTGAGGCAGCCATCGGCACCATAAAATTCTGCAGTTTTTCATGCACCTGATATCGAAGCTTGCGGCCCTTGCTCGCCTTGATATCAACAGTCTTGCTCCGCTTTGCCTTATTTGCTCTCTGCCGGCTCATCCACTTAGGTTCGGTCTCTTCATTGTTAAGCCCCGAGCTGCGTGCTTCGATAATGTCACTGAGAAGTTGCTGATAGAAGTCCGCGTCGTCGAACACCTCCGTGCTCTCGCCGGCGTGCTCCGCATCGCTTTTTCCCACAAGGCGCAATGAACGAGTGCGAGCGAGCAGCTTGTCGGCGTCGGTATGCAGAGTGTCGGCAATGGCGTCTACTACACCGGGTGGAGCGGTCTTACCGGAGAATACGTTCTTAAACGATCCGCGATTTGCTGGCAGGAGCACGTTTGGAGCGACGGCCTGAACCTTCACCGACCACTTCGCGAGGACTTGCACAAGATGCCGGTGATAGGCAGCCTCGACCTCGGATGCGGTCGCCGAATGCATCAAGAGGGCCTTGGCATGATCACGTTCAGTGTCGTGTGATAGCTTAGCACGCTTACGCGGTGTGTATACGGGAGATGCGTCAGCTTTGGTGAGATTCTAGAAATTACGTAATGAGATTGCTGCCTTTGTGGCGTCAGTGGGTCACACTTGCCTCTTGTAGAGCGAAGAGGTCTTGTGACAGCGAAATGGCTTCGTCAAGCGTGGCGCGTATTGAGGTGAGGACGGGGTATTGCTGCCTCGAGGTACTAGGGGGCTCTATCTGCGGAACAAGGATGAAACACTGGACAGAGGTATTGTAGGAGACGAGGCATACAGAAGTAAGGTGATTGACAGCATTGGTTGCGTTCCGTAAACGTATCCGTGCATCGAGGAGCGTGTCCCATATCATCTGAATGACGAATATGTCGGCCTACAGAGACGAATGCGCTCGCATAATCACTCACGATCTGTCGGGAGACAGCCTTGCCCTTCCTTCGGTCCTGCTCCCGAGTAGCGTGCAACGTCGATGCAAGGTCAGATGTTGCGTTTGGTTCCTGCTGTGCGCTGCCGTCGTGGGTCTTGTTTAGCGTGTTCATACCCGGCGACGGTCTGCGACGGTCTGGACGTGCCCCTGTGCGAACATGTTCTTCGTCGTGTACATCTTTTTCGTCCAAGCGGTCACTATCCTCGTCTTGGTCCTCCTCTTTATTTTCTGCCTTCTCGTCCTCAGAAAGCTCCAGGTCCTTGCGAAAGACGCGAGTACTAGCGTACTTTGGGCCACTGATGAAGGAATTCAGCTGACGGAAGCTCGAAGGACTATATCGGCGGAACGAGATTATCAATCGATAGAAGAGGGGAGATTATATCGGTATACCCACCCTACATCGACATAGTGGTCCCTGACTCTAGAGTTTGCCTCGTGTGATTCGTCTTCGGACGGGGAGCCTTGGGGATAGAGGTCGTCTAAGTCAAGGTCTGCGATCGATATCGTTTAGAGCTGGAAAAGAGAGTGCAGCAGGCGTTACGCACCAGCGGGGGTCGCTTCGGAGAGCAAGGCGAGTTGCTGGGCAAGAGAGATTCCTGTAGAGCGTATTAGGCAAGCCGATGCGATGAAGCGAGCCGTGATACTTGCGGCCTGCCATGTTTGATGGCTCGAATGTGGTGAGAGAGGGGTGGAGAAGGAGGGCGTCGGTGGCTAAATATGACACGCAGATATTTCGTTTCGGAAGCGAAAATCATCGAGTCGGCGTAGAATTGTTTAGCGCCCATGTGGTAGTCGCGGCGCTTGAGGCTGAATTCTCGCTTTCCTTACCCCCCTCGAAGCCTTAAAGCTTCCCTTCCTCGCCCTCGCTCATCAACGCTCAGGCGGCCAAGCTGCCTCTTATACCGCAACCCTGGATAACTGCCCCAGCATCAGATGTGTTTTACCGACAAAAAATGCCAAAGAAAGTTCTTGTGCAAGGTACGTGTTGCCGCCCTCTCCAACACCGCTCATACTACCACCTCTGCCACGCTTTGCTTGACGGTTATCTACTTTCTGGCCGTTTTACATTGCCCCCCTTTTGATTTATGTATTTTCTTTTTGCTTTCCCCTTCGTTTTTCTGTCTTGTCCAAGAACTCGCCGCTAATGTCTCACCCCTTCTCAGATCTCAGGAAACAGCCGACTTCTACAATGTCGCATCCTCACGCCAACACTCTGAGTACCACAAACTCTATAGCTGCGAACACATCTCCAGGCGACGAGGACGAAGACGACATATGTCCTGTCTGCGAGAGCGAGTGCACATGTCACAACCGGGGAAGCCCGTCCAGCGCAAGCAGAAGTCTCGCTCCTATGCGCATCTCTACCTTTACTTCCACCAGTTATTCTCCTCCCACACCGTCTCAGCCCCAATCCCATACCACGACACAGCCGCTCAAGATCAAATTCACTGTGCCCCCGAACCTGAAGTTCCGCAAGAACCCCGCCAACAGCAGCTCGTCTCCCGCTGTTCACAACTATGTGTCCCAGTCGTGCAGCAGCCGTCTCCCCCTTCGCACCGAGTCGGTCTCCACGTCCGCAATCACGTCCCAACCGGTAACACTCAGCGTGTTGGACTCCTCCGCTCCGAAGCGCCGCGGTCGCCCGCCAAAAGCTGTCGTCGCCGCCCGCGAAGCTGCAAAGGCCGCCTTGGCTTCCGCGCGCGCGTCGCACAGTGGAAGTGCGCCTCGTTCTCTCCCTCGCAAAAGCACATCTGTTACCGTTACATCTGTCAAGCGCGGTCAGAGCTACACGGGCTGCAAGCGCGGCGCACATACCAAACCCGCGAAGAAGACACTCGGGAAGCGGTCGTTCACTTCCAGCTTGTCGACGTCCTACTCGAGTGAAGAAGACAGCCGGTACCCCACGTTCATGTCCGCTGCATCCACATCTTCTCTCACCAGTTCCTCCGAGTCTCAAGGCTTTGAATCGACTGATTCTGGCGAATCTTCCTCTGATCCTGAACAAGATGACTTGCGCTTCCTACAGAAGGGGTTTTCGAAGAGGGATATGTCTGACTTTGATCCGTTGCAGAAGCGTCTCGATCATAGTTCCGGCAACCGCTGGGAGATCAAGCCTCGGAAACAGAGCGTTGATCCCGAAGAGTGCGGCATGGACGCGGACAGCGAGGACACTTCTGGCGATGAGGAAAACGCGGACGACGAAGAGGACAGCGATGACGACGATGAAGAAGAAGAAGAAGACGCCGTCGAAGGTGACATAGAGGAGGCTGGGTTAGCGGGAATCGACGACGAACCAGAGGCAGGCGAAATGGATGGGAGACTTGGTGTGAGCTTCGGCGGCGACGGTTGGAGTGAGGACGAAGAGTCTTCGTTTGACGCGGACCTTTTCTTCGCTAACTTGGATGACTCGTCCGACTCGTGCGGCTCGCCGGCTGCGCTGCGTCCGGACTCGTTTGGTTCTGGTATGGACGCAGACTCTGTTGGCACGTTCTCGGGGGACGAAGAGGACGCACTGTTGCTAATGGATATAGATCCGTCTGTGCAGATGCGCAGGTCCACAGGCGAGTTCGAGGTCGGGGTGGAACTCGACGGACTTGCGCTTGGCCTTGATGGACAGCTGCTCTTACCCTCGAATTTTGCTCAGTTCGCTGCATTCGAAGGCGATTCTGATAATTCGAACGAGACCGACGTCGATATGACCATCTCCCAGAGTGGTTCCAGCACCGGAGACGATGCGGGCGCCAGTGACGAAGATGGCTTGTTTCTCGAGGAAGGCGACGGCGAGACTACTGAGGATGAACTCGTCGACCCGGACGGCCTCCCCAACTCGAAGGCTATGATGCTGTTTCGCTGGCCCGAACCTATCTCCGGCATCGATCCACGGTCCACAGTTACTCAGTCATCTGGCCCTGCAGATATCCAGGGGTCTCCACAAGCTTCGCATACCCTTCGAATGGCATTGCAATTCGTGGTCGACGATCGTTATTCCGCTACTCCGAGTGGTGATACGAGGCTTTCGGTCGAAGATTCCGGGGATAGTAGCCATCACTGCGACTCTCCAAAAATGTACGAGGGTGAGACTAGACGTACGCCAGGCGTTCCCGTCATGGGCCAATTCGAACCTGCTCCTACCGGCGAGGTATCAAGAATTGCCATCATTGGCGAAAATCATGCCCCAATTCCTAGCCCGTTTCCCAGGTCAAAAATTCTTCGCGCAAAGCAGCGCAAGCCTCGCGCAGATGAGAAGGCTGGTAGCTTGGACTTCACCACCGTACGCATTTCTGTTATCACCTCGAAGTGCGCACACATACAAACTATCACCTCTCGCAGGATTCCGAGGTTTACGGGCGCAACTCTTCGACGCTGTTTGTCTCCGTCAACCCGCCTTCATCGGACGAGCTCGGATCCCAATCTCATGCTCTGACATCTGATGACCCTCTGTCAACAGACGCCATCGATCTCGACGATGTTTTGGACGCCTCGCTCTTGGATTCAGAACCGTTGTTTAGATCGACCACGCCTTCTCAGCACGACTGGCTGTCACCTTCGACTCCCATTGCTACTGCGTCCATCGAGAATCTCAACCGCTGGGATCGCATTCCCGTTGGTACCTTCCGTCGCACGCGCGAGACATCTTTGCTTGAGAGCACGCCAGGCTCGGACACGGGTATCGCGAACTCATATCCTGGTATCAGCGCTCTGCTGAATAACGACATGCTCGACACGCCAAAATCGAAAGTATCGAAGCTGAAGGGTAAATCGAAGAAGGGCTCGAAGTCCGGAGCTTCGAATCCTCTCGTTATCTCACCCGTGCTCCTTCCCGTCCGCGATGGCGACCGCACGCCAACTGGTAGTGGAGTTTACAACCCGTTCCAGCAAAACGGACATCCCCATCAACAGAAATCGCGCAGAGAGCTGCGCAAAGAAAAAGCGATGGTGAAACGGAAGATGATTAGCAAACACGGGCCGCAGCCGTCACTGCGCAATTATCCGCATGCTCATCGCCACCACTACCCGAACATGAAAAGTCGAAGCTCGGGCTCGATGCAACGTACACACCTCGCGCAGAGCTCCCATGTGCCCCACCTCAACTTATGAACGGTCGCTACGGAATGACGCTTTGTTGGCTTGGACCGCACAATCCCTCACTGTACTTTCTTGTGACTGACACGTATTTGCCATGGCGCTAGTATCCCACGTCACAGCCCGACCCCCATTGCCCCCCACTCTCTCCCGACGCCCCATGCCCAATCGTCCCTACTACTAAAACTCAATCCCTCCAGCGTCTTATACTTCCTCTACCTACTCTCTTTTTTTGTAACATCCCCATGTGCGCAGGAAGCACTGTAAATACGTACACATGTACGGAGTACTGAATGACATGACCTTCAATGCGCTAACGCCCAACCGGCGCTCTTGATAGTGGCGTTAGCCGCAGCTTAAGCTTGCCACTTTTGCTCGACTTACTCTCTCCTAGCTGCGCTCTCACTCTACGCCCTTGCCGTCTTTCTAGATCCAAGCTATTGAAGGCCTGAGCTTATTTTCTGAATAACAGCTACGTTCAGTTCCTTAGCTCAGTACAACAAATCATGGAGACATTCGAGGATGAGAATCCATTCGAGGCCGAGGGTGTCCACCTCCACTCCGAAACATCGTCACCAGCAAACGTGAATCTCTCGGAGCCGTCGTCTCCACCGACAAATGCATACAGTGGTGTCCTGTCCCCGCGACCTGGCTCACCGTCTGCCTCTAAGCCCACATTTCCTTCGCCAGGCTCGCATCGACTGCCACAGCCATACAAGAGTGATTACTGCTGTGTGCGCGATCGTTGGCTACACTCCGGGGAGGATGTCGAGATTCACGTGCGTCTGCCCAATAGCGTGTTTTATTGTGCCTTGACCGAATGCTCCATAGATCACAGACGCACAGAAGACCTCGCTGAACTCAACGTCACCTTACATCACGTATATAATCAGGTCGGGGGTACGTAGCTGCACCTTTCGTCCTCTCTTGAGTGTTGAGAAGCTGCAGAATGCCGAGGCACACCACCGATATTCCGAGTTTGAGTCGCTGCGGCAGAGCCTTGTGAAGCTATACCCAACGCTAATCATCCCGCCTATTCCATCGAAGAACACAATTGGTGACTATGCGGTCAAGCAGGCGAAAGCGAAGGAAGATGCCGCGATGATCGCAAGGCGAAAGCGTATGCTGCAGACGTTCCTCAACCGTGCCGCGCGCCATCCCATTCTTTCGAATGAGCATGTGTTCCACCGGTTCCTAGATGGCGAAGTGTCTTGGGTGTGTGCACCTTCTTCTACCTCATTTGTACTCGCTCACCGAATACTTCGGCGTATAGAGCGAGGTGCTGCATTCACCACCGATATCTCAACTGCCAAAGAACATCCTTAAGGCCCCATCTCACAATCCCACAGATGCATCAACGGCTATTGCTTATGCCGCTCTGCCTAACCCATCCGCATCGCACCCCTTGCGACGGCCTGATCAACGTTTTCTTGACTCGGAAGTGTTCACTAACAAATTTGCGACGCATCTCAGCGGACCGATGGAGAAAGTGACTCGAAGGTGCATGAAGCGGTGGTCAGGTATGCTCTGCCCCTCTGCATGATCGAAATTCTTATATGCTACAGATTGTGCACAGGACCACGCAGAACTTGGCGCTGCGTTGAACGGATTTAGTTTGAACGAGACTGGTCAGCTGTCAACAGCCATAGAGCGCACCGGTCAGGCAGTGGATGCAACGTATATGTCCACCAATCAGCTAGTAAGTACTGGTATCATGACATATCACTGGAAGGATGTCATTGACTTGACAATAGCTGCAGGATCTGGAACAGAACTGGGCTGAGCCGCTGAATGAATACAGCCAGTTTGCATCAATCATCAAGAAGCTACTCTCATACAGGCACCAGAAACATGCACAGTATGAGATGACGCAGGAGAGTCTGGAGTCAAGGCGTGAGCAGCTGGAGGAGCTGGAGAAGAGTGAACGCGAAGCAAAGCGGCTTGAGGAGGCTCTGGGGCGCGGTCGCGGTGAGGGTCTCGATGCATCCCGTATAATGACGCCCGAGGGTGAACAGCAGGAGCGAGAGCCTACAGAGGCGGGAGACGAAGTCACATCTGAGTCGCAGACCCTTGCCGAGGAGCAGTCAACTTACCTTCCACCACATCCCGGACCAAGTCCTGTTCGCAGGCGGGCTCCTGGCATGGGCTTTTTGAGTGCGCTGAGCTACACTCTGCACGGGATGATGGACGTCGACCCTGAGACTGCGCGACGTAATTCAATCAGCAAGACTCGAGAGACGATCTCACAGGTAGGTTCTCGCTTTGCTCAGGTTGAGCTTGACTGACGCGAAGCTTCGTGCTATAGCTTGAGGATGCTCAGCACTTGACGGCGCAGGATTTGAAGTACTCGAGCTCTACCATCCAGGCAGACTTGGATCGCTTCCAGCGACAGAAGGTCGCTGACTTGCGAGAGATGTGCATCAGCATGGCTCGAGCGCATCGGGATTGGTGCAAGAAGGTATGTGCCCTCGCCCCAGAATTTTGAGTCTGTGTCAAAACGAAATCCCGTTTTTAGAACTTGGAAGCATGGGAAGAGGCCAAGAAGGAAATTGTACAGATTTCTGATCACCCGAACCAGACACAGGAAAGCCAGAACGCCGGTGGCGGCGGGGTGACGAATGGGAGACGAGACTCGACGGCGACAATAAACGGTCGATGAATATCTCGTGTATCCAGTAATGACATAACTTCAGGATTAGCGTGTGGCTACGTTTCTTCTTACTGGATACCGTCAAGTCTGTTTAGTTCAATCACATCTTCGTCTATGTATCTTGAGTGTTAGTCGAGGCTGTTACACGACCTCTTCGCACGATCGTGACATTTATATGTATATATACAGATGAAGACTGGCTATTGATAGTCGGATGAACTCAAGCTAGCGCAGCACTGTTCGCCTACTCAACTGCAACGTCCATGCCAGCCGACGCAGAGAACATCTGCCAACCCTCACCGCAGGACCAGATACTAGCTCAACAGCAGGTCGTCCTCATCCTAGTGGGCCTTATAGGGTATACTTGAGATCTACATCGGTCGTACGGCAAATACTGAGGCACGATTCTTCTCACCGATTCAACAGATCTGGCAAAGTGAGTCTTGTCTTCGGGGAGCTTCAGTCGTGGTTTCCAACTTGCCCGTTTGCAGTCAACATTTGCCCAGGCCCTACAGGCATATTTTCCGCATTTTCGCAGGTGCAGCCAGGATGATCTGGGTGACCGACGTGCAGTTGAAGCCCTCGCGCGGTCGTCCCTCCGCGAAGGCTCATCAGTCTGCATAGACCGAACCAACGTCGACACACAGTAAGCCCATTTCGTCTGTGCGTGGCTAGAAATTTCCTTGTTGAGAGGTGTGTAAGACAACGATCGACATGGATACGAATTGCCCGTGAGTTTTCTGGCTTGTCAGTATGGGTCCTTGAGTTCGACACACCGTATGAAGTGAGTAGTTTGGAGTCTCAAAGGACAGCATTCTCACTCTCGCTGTTCACAGGTCTGCGAGCAACGTCTCATGTCTAGTATGTTGCTTTATTTTGGTCATTTGACTCCCCGACGTGATATTCCTTCAGGAACCTCACATCCCACAATCACCTCGCCCGAGCTGGGTCTCTCTATCCTGCGGCGCTTTAGAACGCAATACCAACCCCCGGAGCCTCGAGAGGGCTATGACCAGATGCTGTCGCTGCACATCGATAACCAGCCTCCACATGGGTACTCGGCGGCAGATGTGTCCGGCATTCTGACCCGTCTTCAACAAACACCGCGGATCTCACCCTCTGCGTGGAGACCTGTGGAGACCTCAGGTCGAGGAGGGCGTGGGGGTTATCGCGGGACCTACGGTAACCAGAGAGGCCATGAGGAAGGTGGGCATGCGCCGCGAGGCCTTTCACTAAGGAGAGGCTCTCATACCAGGGGACGTGGGCCGTGGTTTTCACCGCCGCAGCCTCCTTGGCAGAGCGCGGACAAAGATCATGGGTGAGAACAGAGACATATATTATGTGATGCTATGCTTATCTACACATGAGAAGCACTAGCTATGACGCCAATTGGCGCAGACCTCAGGTGAGTACGATTCTGTGGGATGGGTTGTGGCAAGCTGACAAATCCGACAGTAAACGCCTACAGGGTGACGCTACCTACAGGAGTCAAAACAGTTCCTGACGTAAAATCACACTGATGAAGTGGACGGCTCTCTGCCGAAGGAACTGCAGCGTGGTTGCAGGCGCATCATAGGTTAGCACGGCAGAAAAACAATAAACATGCGGATGTGGCAGGCTCTGCCGTACACGAACTTTCCATGTGTGCCCGGTACACCCGGTAATTGCGCTATCGCGGGCGGATAAGCGTGAGCTTATGAATCAGACTTCTTGCCTGAGTCTTCCGCTGTCTTCATCCTCTGACCGAGGATCTTGGCGCTGACCTGCATTGCGCTGTCAGCGAAGTGACCCTGAAAGCTCACGAGGGCGACTCACGTTCCGGATGTGCATCGCAGCACGCTCCACGCCGTACTCTTTGCTACGCTTGTACTGAGCGAGAGCCTCCTCCAATTGGCCGCCTGCGGGCGAGTCAGCACGGAGACGATAAGGCACAACAATAACACTTACAGGCCTCCAAGACGGCCGCCAGATTGAACGCAATTTCCGCGTCCTCGGGGGCCAAGGAAGAGGCAATGCTATGTGAAAAGTGAGTGGAAGGTATCTTTCGTCATTAGTCTCCTCTGGCTCACCGCAGATGCTGCAGCGCTAGGTCGGGCCTACTGACAGGCGAGATGATATACGCGCTGGCAAGGTCTACGGATATTTTGGCTTTAGAGAGAACGTGCCCGATAATGCGACGATACGAACTAGTATGCGCATCTGGGCTGTTCGGCTGAAGAGCAATAGAGTCTTTCCAGGCAGAAATAGCTTCCTCAAACTCCTCTGTGCGGTGCATATGTCAATAGACGATGCTTTGCGGCAAGCAAACACGTACTGAGGTGGTAATGTGTCACTCCGAGGTTGAATAGTGCGCTGGCGGTGCGTTTAATCTCCACGCTCCGCCTATAGAGGTCCTGGATAGACGTCACGTTCAGCAGAAAGACCGGAGCAGGCTTATCTGATAATACCTTGGCTGCCTGAACGTCACCCTCTTCGAGCTTCTGGGTGCCTTGTTCGAGACATTGCAGAGCCTCCGCCTCTGCGGGATCGGAAGCCGTAGAATGAGGGGTGGTGGAAGTGGCCCAGCCTGGGTTTGCAAGACAATTGGAGCTGTCAGATAGATCTCACCGGAGGACAGGGTTTGACATTAGCTGAGAACTTACGTCTGCGGGCGAACGACGGTGCGGACGGCGTGCGGGGACTCTGGGGGCTAGCTGGGGGCTGCAGCACGCGTCGCAGGGTATGTAACGGTCTGAGCCGGGCCACGGAGACCGTGCGCGGTCTCGCAGCAAGATTTCGCAGGAGGCTTGTGAGCACCATCGCTGCTGCTGCTGCCAATTGTCTTGGAGAGAGCTCAGTACGACTGTTCCACGCTTTCCGCGCAGATCAGGAAGAGTAGACGCGCATGTTCGCGCGGGGATATGCGCGCTTAGCAAAACTTGTCCTACTCGTCGCGAACGCCTGTTGTCCGCTGTCTTCCACGACCTCTGCAAAATTATCTCTACGCGCTTCGTTCAATCAACTGTAATGGATCCGCAGCGTTCGCAAGACCAGCAGGATGCCACCGACGTTCTCCGCAACGCTACCTTTGTTCGCAATGACGTGCCTGCACCCTCTCCGGAGAATGCAGTCACGGCTTCCGATCTGCTTCTGGGTGCTTATGACCCCACAAAACTGCACCCAATGGCAGGCATAGAAGACAAGCTCGACTATTTGCTCCTTGAGGATGACAAGACCAGTGATCTGCCTGGGTCTGGAACGGCTATTCCCTCGCGAGGTTGGAGTGATGACCTCTGTTACGGGACGGGTACCATGTATCTCAGCGGTTCGTCGCTCGTTCCTCTCCTGCATCGCCATCTTGTGCTCATCATAGCCGGTCTAAATCTTCTCCCAACCGCCTCCTTTCTCCCACACGTTATCGCTCCCGACGCCCTCTTATTGTCTTGCTCCATCACATGCCCACATCTGTCCTGGCAGGTCTTGCCCTTGGTGGACTCTGGGGACTTCGCGAGGGCGCGCGGAAACCTTTGGCTGTGTCTAACGCAAGGCTGCGGATCAACGCTGTTTTGAATTCTGTGACACGACGAGGTACTTTCGTTGGCAATTCAGCCGGTGTCCTCGGTGCGTCTTCTATACTCGTTCAGGGCCTTTTGTTTTGGCTCATGCGCCCATCCCCGCAGCGCTCGTCTACAACGGAATTAACTCGACGATAGATCATGTACGTGGCAAGCATGACACACTGGGCAGCATGGCCGCAGGCGCATTCACCGGTGCCTTGTACAAGTCGACCGGTGCGTTTCAGCGTCCCTTACCAGCCTCTCATCTGATGTTTTCACCTCGCTTTTGATAATGCACAGCCGGCGTAAGACCTGCGCTTGTGGCGGCAACGTTCATTTCAGGCATGGCGGGTGTGTGGAGCTATGTCAAGCGCAGCGTATAGTATTGTACCTACCTCGTATGTTCTTCTTAATTGCTCCCTGTTAGACTTCCGATTGCATCGCCCGCGAATCGAGATACCCATCACCGCTCCCAAGATGAAATGTTCGATTACCTCGCACTTGGTTCTAGCCGACCGCTGGGAAAGTTGACGGCGCACTGTCCGGAGTCTGTCGAGTGCCAGTGATTCTCGATCAATTGTACAGGTGGTAAAATAACTCCTGGCTACCGTGCTTGTATATATTTCTGCTTTGTGTGTCTGCCACTCATCTGCTGCAGGGCCCGCTTTCTCAACAGACTCTGCCACCCTTGGATGGCCGCCGAGCTGCTTTGCTTACGAGCGGCCGCGAGAGCGCGGGGTACAGCGCGCACCGTGGTGAAGCGGCGATGTCGCTTGTGGACGTTCTATCGCGTGACCAAGGAGGTCGTACGCCACGTCCCAGCCCCCCGTCTCAGGCGAACTCACGAAGTAAGGCCCGCGAAGGTTTGCATTACCCAAACAATAAACTTACCTTCGTGCTATGGTTATCACAGCACTCTTGCGCATACAGAATAGTCTTGGTGCATCGGATGCGGTGGATCGAGATACGCAGGTTCAAGATGTTGCACCACCGCGTGCGCAGCGGCATATCTCAGCGGCACGCCGGTGATTCCTCCGACACAAGCCAAGGGTTTGTCTACCCGCGCCACCAGGGGCTCGCACGAAACCCTGGCATCCGATCTGGCAGTCTCTGGCCAGGATCTCCGTCTCCGTTACTCACTGACGGCTCCCCTCGCCTACAGTTTGGCTCCGGGTCGACAAACCGCCAGTCAAGGCAATGTCGTTCAATTAATCAAGATTACCCGTTCTCATGTTCGCTCTTACAGCACTTATCGTCTTGAGATCGTTCAACATCCGTCCAGGGCGGCCGAGTTTGGATCATCAACGCTGACCCGACTTGCCGTTGCGCCACCTCTCATTGCCCAGCTGTATTTTTGTGAGCAGACTAGTCCGGATGATTTTGAGTGGGTTGCTTGGTCGGTTACTTTGATATCCATTTCCAACGCTGACTATACAGTAGTGAAAGCGAGCTGCCATTCCTCATCGCTCAATTGTCACTCTATAGCGCAGATGGGTCGACCGCTCTGGACATCATAGGCCCGGGCGGACAGACCCCGTCTCGACAGTTGTTATACGGCAATTTAGTGTCATCGCCGCACATACTGCGCAATCTACAGGGACGGCAGGGTGTATATTTCCTCTTTCCGGATGTCAGCATACGCATTCGGGGACGCTTCCAGCTACATGTCACTCTGATTCGTATCCCCAGGCCAGTCTACTCGCCAGTGCTAGTGGTAGGCAACGGCGCTCAACATTGGTTTTCTAGGATCAGCCCCAGCGGTGCGCTGAATACCGCGGACCAGGGCGCTATGCTCGCCCGTGCCCGTTCGATGCCGTTCGATGTCTATGCACGCGCAGAGTATGTCGCACCAGGTAGGCACACTGCTGCTGCGCCGAGTGCTCAGACTTGCTGACTTAACGGTCCGCGCTGTCACACAGCACAAACTCCCCTAACGCAGTACTTCATGCAGCAGGGTGTTCGAATGTACGCGTTTGCCTCTTCCGTTCAGTTCATGCCGGGCCACCGCTGAAGTATATCGTGTTCCCAAGGACTGTCTCTTGTCTGCGGCGCCCCTAGAGCTTCTTTCGCCCGCGCCTCCACACTTTCGTTTTTTACCCGCGGCTGTGGATCGCACGATTTTCGTTATTCGCCCTTCTAGCCGCAGACCGTTGTTCGTCTCCCGTCTATGTACGCGCGTAGTACATCGCTTGCGTCACTGTAACGCTTACTTCGTTTGAGTTACCCTCTTGTTTGTGGGTTTTTTTTAACCTTGAAGGCTACCTTCAAGATGCATTTAGTATTCCTACGTCATTCATCAGCACGTTGTGCTGCTTCTGCTACCTTGGCCGCATAGGCTAGTCCGATAGGAAAACTTAGCAAATATTGTTCGGCGGGGCATTCCGGGGGCTCTTTACAACCGACTCTTGCGCTGAGTATAGAACACCGATGGTATTCATGGGACGGTGCGAACAGACATGCAGATATCATCGTTGGCAGGTCGACAGTCACAGCTGTAATATCGTCGTCCGACCTGTATCAGGTATCCACAGGTCGTTGTACACGCCGCAACGCGACTGCGGACTTTTGGCTGTGTTGTGCTGTGCCTCAAAGGTAGGGGGTCATTCTTACTTCGCAACTTGCCCCGCGTTTTCCACGTGCCGCAGCCTTTTCCGGCTCCCGCTCGGGCCATGCCGTCATCCCTTTATAATTCTGGGGTCGCAGCCGCCGCGAGTGCGCTCCCACTCGTTTCATCTTCCCTACACTCGACCTAAGCCATGTCCAACCAGGATTACTACAGTAGTCAGCAACAGTATTATCCCCCACAAGGTGTGTCTTGCCCTTCATTATTCAAGCGTCAGGATTCACTCTCCGAGTGCAGGACCACCTCAGGGTGGCTACTACCCGCAGCCACCTCAGCAAGCTTATGGCCAGCCTCCCCCGCCTCAAGGCTACTACCAGCCTCAGCCGCCACCTCAGACCGTCTATGTGTAAGTGTCTCCCCTTCCCCTTCCCCTCTCCCCGTGTCACCGGCCAACCCGTTCTGGCCTCACGATACCCCTCTCTCGATAGACAACAACCGCCTCCCAAGGGCGGCGGCGGTGGCGGCGGCGACTGCTGTGCATGTTTAGGGGGAGCGTTGCTTTGCTGCTGCGCAGAAGGTGCGTCGTGCTGCGTTAGCTTCGTCGTCTACTAACTTGTAGCAACCATAGAGATTTGCTGTGATTGTCTCTTCTAATCCATGGATGTTGCTATATATACCATATCGAAGCCACCGTGATTCTCGCCCACGTCGACTCGGTCCCTACCGTCGTCCTAACTTCAAGTGGTTTTAGGCATTCCTAGGATTATTATTATGCCCATGCTGTCTAGTGTATTTCTCTAGGACTTATATAATTTGCATGCCTTTCTCTGGACCTGTCAGATAGCCTTTTGTCCACGTCAGAAAGCGAATTTTGAGCCTCCGAGAAGTCCACGTTGTCGCCGACAATTTGGAAGGCTGCCACAAAATTGGAGCTGTTCACAGCAACTTGAAAGAGCCTAGGATGTGACAGAACGGTGTTAAGTAACAGAGACCAAGGTCATATGTAATACGAGATTGTCGAGATTCGAGAGTGGGCTGCTATAAAGCGAGTGTTGCAATTGGTGAAGCGCTCCGTGTTCTTCCGTCAAACGGGCTTGTCACATTTGTGATGGTCACTCCCTCCTCGTTCTTTACCACCAAAATTCATCTCCCTCGCCGCTAAAATGCTCTCCAGGCTCCCTGCGGGAGTATTAAAGAACGCCAGCAGCACTCTTGGTACTCGCTCGACTACCGTCGCGAACGTTGCCCGCGCTGGCCTGGTACGTGCACGCCCATGTCCGTTCAGCGCGTCCTGACTTCTACCCGCCATAACAGCGTGTTCGTCATGCGTCCACCAAGTCGTCTGTGTCGTCTGCGTTTGAGGTGTGCATAGTACAGACCTGTCAATTTATCGTATTTCTAAACTGTTCCGGGCGCATGCAGTCCCTCTTGAACTCCCGCGCGACTCTGGCAGGTGCTACCGTCGCCGCTGTCGGCTCTGTGGCTTGGTACGCGCACCTCTATGGAACACTGCCCTTCATTGGCGAAGTCCATGCCAACTCGCCAGCGGAAGACGGTCTTCACCCGCCCCACTACCCCTGGTCGCACCAGGGCTTGCTTGACACCTTCGACCACACCAGGTGCGGGCCATTCCCTCGTCGGATTGTTTGACATTTGATTCGAATCTAGCTGCTCAGCATTCGCCGCGGCTATCAAGTCTACCGGGAGGTTTGCGCCGCCTGCCACTCGCTTGACCGTATCGCTTGGCGCAACTTGGTTGGTGTCTCGCACACAGCTGATGAGGTCAAGGCCATGGCGGAGGAAATCGAGTACGAGGATGGCCCAGATGACCAGGGCGAGATGTTCCAGCGCCCCGGAAAGCTTTCTGACTACATGCCTCCTCCCTACCCTAATGAAGAGGCAGCCCGTGCCACCAACAGCGGTGCGCTCCCTCCGGACCTGAGTTTGATCGTCAAGGCCCGTCATGGCGGTCCTGTACGTGCCTAATCGTTTTATACGTCTATTTGCGTATTGACATACTCAAAAGGACTATATTTACGCGCTCCTTACTGGCTACTGTGATCCTCCGGCGGGCTTCGAGATTCGTGACGACATGAACTACAATCCCTACTTCCCTGGCAATGCCATTTCTATGGCGCGTGTTCTCTTCGATGGCCTCGTTGAATATGAGGATGGCACCCCGTCTACGACTTCCCAAATGGCCAAGGATGTTGTCACCTTCCTGCACTGGGCGTCTGAGCCCGAGCATGACGAGCGGAAGAAGATCGGTCTCAAGGCCGTTATCCTCTTTTCTGCGCTGACTGCGATCTCCTTGTACGTCAAGCGTCATAAGTGGTCGTACATTAAGACCAGGAAGATCGGTGCGTAACCGCGTACATCTCGGATTACAATTCCGCTAACGACCCTTTCTGATAGTCTACACTCCTCCGACCGATATCAAGAAGCACTAGTTCTAGATATTGTAGATAGCGTCGACAGCCTTTTCACCATTGAAATCGCAGATTTTACGGCCTACGTGAATTGCTATCACAGGAGACCGTCGAGATTTGCTCTGAGAACGCGGCTTAGTGGGCATAATGCGCATATGAGCCCGGAAGATCTGCTAGGACTTTCGTATAGAAATTTCTGAAGTAATGCATACCAGATATCTCTGTTACATATTGTGTGCTTCGCTCGAAGCAAACACTAACGAAATTGCTGCATTTTGGCGGCGTGACCACATTGCTACCGTGGGAAGTACCTGCCTAGACTGGTTGTCGCTCTTCATCCGCCAAAGATGGCCATCCAGCCCTTTCTCATCACTACGTTCACCATCCTCGTCTCCGAGTGAACATATTGGACCCATCTTTCATATATCCGCCTTCGAATTTCTACCGTGAATTGCTGCGTTTGAGTACAGTGCCACTTCAAGATGTCCTCCGAAAGCTGGCCTCAGCAGCTTAAGTGAGTGCGATCATCTGATTCCACTCAGGTATACTCATCACGTCCGCAACGCCACAGAGACTGGGTCGCAAAATGTTTGGGGCAGATGACGGATGCTAACAGGGAGGAAGCACAGGCCGAACTAAGACAGGTAATATCTGATGCGTTTGTTAACCGTACGCTGTGGACTACCGACTGGGATGGTGTGCAACTGCAAAGGTGCGTCGGACCTCCCTGCATCCCCCTCATGGCATGATATTGAGGGCTCTGAATACAGTTTGACGCCGAAGACACTCAACCTCACTACGAATGTCCTCAAGCGGAAACTGTGAGCCTTCCGTCTGCCCCGGGTGTCTCCCGCGTCGATACTCATCATCCAGCAGTAATGACCACAACACAGGCACACATGAGAGAAAGAAGACAAAGAAATCGCAAATAACAAAAAGCGCTGCACCGAGTGCGTTAGACCTGAGCGACCAGGCCGCGCTAAACCGTAGAGCGGCTCGCTTCCAGCGTGAACATGAGATTGAACGGCAGAAGACTCTGTTTGGTGGTCATGGCTCATCTTCGCAGGTTTTCCGTGCCTCGTCATCCTTTGAACCCTCTCGTTCAGGCACACCTGCGTATTATGGAGACGACCCAGAGGCTGATCCGGTACGTCCGTATCTCCAACATGCACTTCACAGGTTGTAACCCCGCACATGCAGAATGTGCCAAATTGGGATCGCTACACGATTGTTGGCACAAACCAAGAGATCTTCAAGGATTACTTGCGGCTAACAACAGTGAATATCCAGATCATTCATACTTACTTACCGACATGACGTTTATTGTTCTAGGAACCAAGATCCGAGCAGATACGACCATATGATGTCCTTCAGAAAACGCTGGCAGAGCTGAAGAAAAGATGGCGAGAAAAAGCAAACTACAACTGGATACGTTCCCAATTCAAGAGCTTGCGACAGGACCTCACGGTGCGTCAATTGCCGGTGGTTACCTGGACAGGCTTGATCTGGGTCTTTGTGAATGTCTAGGTTCAACGCATCAAGAATGACTTTACCGTGATGGTATACGAGATTCATGCGCGTATGGCTCTCGAAGTCGTGCGTAGCACAAACTCTGGGTGATTCGCTAATCTTCACGTCCGACGTAGGGCGATATGGTCGAGTACAATCAATGCCAGGCAATGCTTAAGAACCTGTACGATCTTGGTATCCAGGGCAAAGCAAAGGAATTCACAGCGTACCGGATTTTGATGCTCATCCATGGCCGAAATCGAAGCGGTACTCTCTTGTGTTGGCATCGACAGTAACATCGCTAATGGCTTGCGCGTAGATTTAAATCTCTATGTAGGTCAGCTAACGCCACAGCAGAAATCGAGTCCGTTCGTGCAACACGCGCTCGCCGTGCAGCGCGCGTTGTCTATGGGGAACTATCACGCTTTGTTCGACCTGTACCTGAACGCTCCGAATATGGGGGCATACATCATGGACCACTTTATTGACCGGGAGCGGGTGAAGGCTCTGATCATGATGTCCAAGGCGTACGTCTGGCTTCCTCTTTGTTGTACGATCCTAATTTCTTATCATATCATCGCTCTTTTCGACTCGCAAATCACAGTTATATGTCTCTCCGGCTATCCTTCATCTCAACAGAGCTTGCGTTTGATAGCGTTGGGCAAGCGAAGGAGTTTCTGGACCAGCACCGTGCGGGAACCTTCTTCAAGAACCCAAACAGTGCTGACGAGGAGAAGATCTTGGATTGCAAGGCCGCACACCAGACACTGGTCCAGATATTCGAAGAGAAATACCGAAAAGTGCAGATTAAGGGCGCAGTATAGCTTTTCTCTCCTCGTCTCTCACGCCATTTTGCCTCGCCTCCCTCTTGTCTTCTCCGACAACTCTCTTCCAGCATCCTTTCCATTCTCCGGCAAATTGTCCGCAAGACACCTTCGTCCCACGCATTCTGCTAGACGCCTTGCTGTTAAACAGGTACAGGTCCGTAGCTGGTGGCGGTGGTGGTGGTGGCAGGTGGATGTCGGGGGTCGGTTATTGTGTCACTATGTACTTATTGATGCGCCGCGCTTGGAATGCAGCTAACGTTCACATTCGCACGGGAATGCAATATGCAACCTGCCGTCGCAAGTAGAAACTAGTCGCGCATGCGCGCGGGGATAAATCGACGGAATACAACATCACGGACGGTATAGTGTGCTAGTGCGGCGGGTGAACACAGAATCTGTGGGTCGACTCTTGAGCAGGAAGGGATGGTGATATAGGCAAGGATTAGAGTCTGCGTGTGCGAATTTAGCAGGCGAAAAATAGCATTATAGAAACGAGTATACTTTCTGAACCTGGCTGTTAACTCGGTTGATGGTGCTCAACCATGTCCACGAAAATGGAGCTGTATTGTTTAGATCGTATGGCGACGTTTTCTGGTCTTCCGAGTCTTCGTAGACCGGCAGAACAACTACTGCAAACCTGAAAGGTCTGTAAGCAAGAGAAGCATGCACAAGAGTATGAGGACTGACTCGGCATGCGAAAACACAGGGCCTCGCTTGTACAAGAGGTAGTCTACGCAGAACTTGATACCGCCTTTCACAGCCCAGCCGAGTGCACGATAGTAGTGGTATACCACGTAATGCACGAGAAACGGATTGTCGAAACGGTTCTCATAAATGGACGTGAGACTTTCTGGGATGCAGGGCGGCCAGTATACCCGCTGAAATGCGGACCAAACGCGCTTCAGTTCGAGGGCTTTGTCCTGTGCCGGCCCCTGTCAGCAGGAAAGTGGTTGTAAGCACAGCAATGAGCACAGACTGTTAAAGGGTCTATGACTGTCAGGCAGTCCAGGTTCCAGAGCAAGAAGAAAGCTTCTTGCAGGGTGAGCTGCAGGTGCTCGACATCTTCCAGCAGTTCCTCTGCAGCTTCCTCGGGGTTATCTGGTTCTATCAGTATAGCAGGTGCTGAGATATCCGTAGAAAAGGCTTGTCGGGGCTTCCATGTAGCACCCGAGGGGATAGCAATGGCGACTGCTTCACGGCCCTCGACAAAGGCCTTCTCTGCTTCGGCCGCTGCCTCTGCCATCGCTCTTGCGCGCTCTAGCTTGAACTGCTGCCGTTCCTGACGGCGTTTCTCGCGAATCTCTTCTGAGGTTAAGTCTTGGGATGAAAGTCAAAGCAATACTCGGACACAGAGGTGGAGGTACGTACATTTCCCCGCAGCCTTCCTCGCGTTCGCCTGCCGAGTGTACCACGACGGCTCGCTTCGTGATAGGTCCCCCTTGCCGAAGAAGCCTCGCTGCCATAGAATCATGGCATCCTTGGGGTTTAGAATCCAGACCGAATGTGTCACAGAGTCTACTATTCCTTCACAGTGAGGATTCTCTACACGAACCCCGCTTATGCCAAACAGCCCAAGTAGACGATGCGATGAAACATATTTCGTCTTGTCAGGCTGTATAAAAAGCAGAGGTAATGAGTGTGCATATATCCTGTTATTTTCTGCCTTGCGTGCGCCGGCCTTGCCTGTAGGGCCTTTATGCTGGGGAAGTACGGTGAGAGACATGGGTTCGAGGATTCAGTAATCTCCGCCCACGACCCAAGCGCGAGATGACTAGGACGCGCCGCGAGCGCCTGCTCGCATTTACGGACCACCGCGATGGCCTCATTTCGCGATTCGTCCGTCGTGATCCTCGACACGAGCCGCACTCTCGTACGAGCAGGTATTGGCCTCCATGAGCTACTTAAGATCCCTTCTGTGGTATGTATATCGCCTCTGCCGCTTGTAACCGTGTTCACCCTACGTGCATGGGCTGCAGGAAGTGTCTGCACGCGTTGGCCTACGCAAAAGCGCGAATGGTGTCTCGAATGATGATGAGATGGTCACGGAATCGTCATCATCAGCTGCACCAAGCTCAACCTCTACAGCCAAAGTGACTGACTACCTTGTCGGTGCGCAGCTTGACGAAGCCTTGGCCGCTGGTCAAGTAGATGTGTTCTGGCCATTCGCAGACGGAGATATAAAGGACTGGACACAAGCAGAAGCGCTGTGGTACGCTATTATCCATAATATTATAATTTGCAAATAACTTAAGACCGCACAGGAAGCATATTCTGTTCAACCAGCTCGGACTGCGAAGAGTCCAGATGGAGTCCCCTGTTCTCCTTGTGTTTGCACCAGGAGTTTCGCGAAACACATATGAACGAATATGTCGCATGTTCTTTGAACGTTTCAACGTCGCTGGACTCTCGATTGTCGAGCGTCCAATGGCCCAGTTCTTCGCCGTCACGGTTTCTGGTACTGACCCGAACGGTGTGGTCATTGACATCGGCCAAGAACACACGGACATCACCCCGATATATGAGAGCTTCGTCGTGCAAGGTGCACATCAGACCGTCGACTATGGCATCTCAGACTGCGAACAGTACCTCGCGCACCTGCTCCTCTCGAATCAGTCCGTTGTGAACACGCTTTCTCCGCCAGAGAGCCCACTCTCTCCAGAAGAACTGCGCGCAATGCTCGTCGAGGTCGCACGCCAAGTGTGGCGGGAAGGGCTCGTGAAGGTGCTCGCGGAGGGCGAGGCAGCAGACATCGAGGAAGAGGGAGTCACGGACATCGCAGCCGTAGTCGTCGCGGGCAAGGAAAAGGCCGTTATCGAAAGCGGCATGAAAAAGAAACAGAACGCAAAGGCATCCGCAGCCGAGCTTGCCCGTGCAAAGGAGATTGAGGCGCTCGATCTAGTAACGGTTCAGTTCCGCGACAGGTCGCTCACACTGGGCAAGGAGCGCCACCGTTTCTGCGAGCCGCTGTTCGATCCGAGCTTGCTGAGGGCTATCCCAGGCTTGCCAAGGAGTACCTCGGAAGAGAGCGTCAGGCCGCTACAGGCTGCTATTGGACATGCCGTGTCACTTACAGAAGTGGATGCACGTCAGTATATTTGGCAAGGTTTGTTTGTCACTGGAGAGTTGACAAGCCACATTAAGGGTACGTCTTGTTAACTGCTCGTAAATAGCATTCGTTACTGATGGGTCATGACAACGTAGGTTTTGGAGCAGCTCTGCAAGCACGTCTGGCGCCGTTCATTCTCAGTCAGGCAGATCAGCAAAACGAGGTACAACCGAAGAGCATACGGACTCTGAAGATTCCAGATTATTTCGCCGAGTACAGGGACAGAGGCGATGGCCTGGCATCATTTTTGGGCTCAAGCATCGTTGCAAAGGTGCCCACGACCAATTACTCCGCTGCTGTGACTGTTCTTACATGTGATTGTCGCAGATAATTTTTGTTAACGAGCCAAACGGCAAAAACTTCGTTACGAAGGCTGACTATGCGGAAAAGGGACCCAAGGTGATACTGGGACACTCAGCGTCTCTCTTATAGCACCTGCGGCCGGCCGTACATCGTTTTACGAGTGTTTTACGAGTTACGCGAGAGATAAAAGGCAGCTTGTCATAACGCAGGGCACGTACAAGCACTCAGAGCTACACAAGGTAAGCCTAATGTTGACACATTTACTGCGCAGCACTCTCAGCGACAGTGAGGAGATCGCTGTCGCCCTGGTCTATGATAGACATTACACTGCGAAGCCGTATGGGCAGCATACTCAAACGATGAAGAATGAAGGTACATACCCGACGCGGAAAAGCTTTCCGGCAGCGGTACCAAGAGCAACGTTGGTACCAGCAAAGTGGTGTACGGAAGTCTTGGACAGCATTGCGTAGTATTCTAGCTCAGACTTGCGGAGAGGCGGGCAGTTGCCTGCAATCAAGACAAGCTTGGCTGCAACACGATAGCCAACGTCGACAGAGATAAAAAGAGGTGATCCGTAAGCACGAGGGACCTTCTCAGCCTTACGCTCCAGTCCCCGGAGAGAAAGTCGCAAAGAAACGCTGCTCACCCTTGCCGTTGCGCATGTGCTTGAGGGCAGACTTGTAACCAAGGCTGTACTTGCCAGACTTGACGACAAGCGCGAGACGAGACGCAATGGACTCCGTAGACTTGGCGGCCTTGGATTTCTTGGTGGGGGCCATTGCGAATATCGAAGGTGGGCGGATGCGGCGACGGCAGCGGGTGTCTTGAGCAGGAAATCCAACGGCGCTCCAGTTTGTGGATGCCACTGAAACAAGGTTCAAACTCCGACTGATGAATCCCGGGGGATGCCGCTCCGGCTCAAGACGGCGAGATGTGACGATTGCGCAGGAATGGCGAGCTCGCCTCTCATCCACTGCTCATTTGAGCGAACAAGGATGGATCGTCACAAGCTTCACTTCGTCTGACTACGCAAAAATGTAATCGGAATCCTCCGATCGTGAATTCCGAATAGCGGAATGCTATTTTATCCTCTAACCTCTGACCGATCTGTGCCCCGGAAGAGCCAACTACCTGCGTGCACAGAGGCCCCATATCGTGAGTGTCGCTTATGCTACGTACAACGCGAGGGGTCTGCCTGGCATCAGATATGGATGCGAGTGGGCGTCTCCAAGCAGATATGTCCCAGTGGTGTTTACGATACTGCGGAGAGCAAATTACTGACTTTATGCTCGTCTTCGGATATAGTTAAGTCATGGTCGTCACGTCTTCTGCTGCCGCCGTCTCGCGAATCGCTTACTTGGCATCCGATGTCCTCGTTGACTCGCGACCTCCATTGCCTGCTGCTTCAAAGTTTTTGGACGTCTTGAACACCCTCTCGGAGCAGCGAGGGGCAAAACCGGTTTACAGCCTTCCCTCTGGTGCCGACCCGAGCGGCACTCTGCTGCGAAACAGCTCAACCAGCCTAGTCGCGTATACCGCTTCTTCCAAGCCCGAGCTGCTCCATCACCTCCTCGTGCATCTTTCCGAGCTCAGCACGGCACCAGTCGTCTTTCATATTGCCATAGAGGATGACCTCTCAGACGTTCTCATCCTCCGCTCCAGCGTTCCTTTCTTCCTCTTCTCACGGACAGCCCAGCAAGCTCACGATAATGCCCTTCTCGGCTCTCGGCTGGCTCGGCTGGAGAGAAAGCCCGTCCTGCATGTCTTCGCGGACGTAGAAGGATTCGTAGAGGAGATTGAGAGCGACTGGATCCCGCCTTTCCTATCGGAGGATAGCGCAGCCGTCGTTAATGGTCACGTCCTTCCTTCTGACGAGTACGTCCCCGCGCTTTACCAGTCGTATCTTAGCGCAGCGACTACCACTTCCACACGACTCAGGCGGTCTGTCCGTGCCTTCTCTGAGCACGGCTCTGGAAGGCCCCATACAGTCATCTTCACGTTTGGCCGACCCTTGTTCAGGTTCGATCTAGACGACATCCTCTTCGTCGATATCTCTCTTGTGAACCCCCTCCCAGCCTCCCAGATTAACAGTCGCATCCCTCCAGGTGTTTCCCGCGTCCTGGTTGTCGAACAAGTTCGCCGCTGGTCGACCAAATGGACACCTCTGTACCTTGAAGTCGTCAATGCCATTCAGCAAGACGAACGCGACGAGTACCCAACCGTACACAGCGTCTCCTTAGAGGGTGATGTGCATGCTGCGGACATCCTTAAGCTGGTCCGACATGCTTCAGAGGAGTCGCCCAGCAAGCGCTTGCAACTTGGTTACCCCTCGAGCCCAATGAAGACCGTACCTCTCATTACTCCCCACGTCCCCAAGCACGAGTCGTCATACGTCAAGATTCTGAACCAGCTCTTTGGCGAGCGGTTGCAGATCGCCAACTCCCCTGGCCTCGTTGCTTCTCAGGGCCAGGTGGCCACTACTCCGGAGTTTGCGCTTGGTCGTGTACGCGGAGAGATCGAGCTCCGCAACGAGCTCGTAGAGGCCATCAAGGAGCTTCTGCAAGATTCTGCGGTCACCCCTGAGCTACACAGCCTTCTGAGCAAATGGCTACTCAACAAGGATGATCCTAGCATGGCCAGTCAGCTCGGCCAGGAAACTGTCGAGGCTCTTGAAGCCGGCACCACCACCAGCTCCGCGGCGAACCGCGTGTTGTCGCTCAAGGCGCACTTTCCCGTTCTCTCGCGCTGGATTGTTGGTTCCGACGCCTGGTCCTACGACGTCGGCGCATCTGGCCTGCACCATGCCATCGCCTCGAAGCTCAACCTCAACATCCTTCTGTTGGACACTGTACCGTACTCTTCGCGTAATGTCACAGACCCCAACCGCCGCAAGCACGATGTCGGTCTCTACGCTATGAACCACGGAGACGTGTATGTTGCTAGTGTCGCTGTCTATTCGTCTTACGCACAAGTCTTGCATGCCTTGGTTGAGGCCGATCGCTACGAAGGCCCTAGTGTCGTCCTCGCATATTTGCCTTACAAGACCGAGGAGGACCCCGCCCTTTCGCTGCTCAAGGAGACCAAGCTTGCTGTTGATGCTGGCTACTGGCCTCTCTACCGTTGGAACCCGAGTAAGGAGGCGCAAGGCAAGGAACCATTCACTCTCGACTCTGACGCCGTCAAGAACGATTTGCAGCAGTTTTTGGACCGCCAGAACCATCTCTCGCAGCTGGTACGCTCTAAGCCGCAGCTCGCGGCGGAGATCGTTAGTAGCTTGGGCGAGAACGTCAAGGAAGCCCGCAGGAAGCGTGCGCAGCAGTCCTACGCAGAACTTCTGACCGCGATTGATGCCCCGCCTCTGCTCGTTCTCTATGCCTCCGACGGTGGCAAGACCGAGAAGGTCGCTCGCCGTCTCGCTACTCGCGGAAAAATGCGCGGTCTCTCTACGACGGTGCAGACCATGGATTCAATTACCGTCGAAGATCTCGCCAAAGAGGAGTACGTTGCCTTCCTCACTTCTGTCGCCGGACAGGGCGAGTTCCCGCAGAACGGCCGCACCTTATTCAAAGCCTTGAACGCGCTTGCTTCTCGTGGCGAGAAGCCGCTCACAAACCTCAAGTTCACAGTCTTCGGTATGGGTGACAGCCACTACTGGCCGCGCCTCGAGGACGCACACTATTATAACAAGGCCGGCAAGGACCTCGATAGGCGTCTTGAGCAGCTCGGCGGTCAGCGCGTCGCCGAGTTCGGCTTTGGTGACGACCAGGACGCGGACGGTCCTGAGACTGGCTACAAGCTCTGGGAGCCGCTCGTCTGGAAAACTCTCGGTGTCGATGCGATCGAGGTGCGCGAAGCGGAGCCCGAGCCGATCACAAATGAGCACATCAAGGTCGCGTCACAGTACCTTCGTGGCACGATTGTGGAAGGCCTCCAGGACAACAGCACCGGTGCTCTCGCACCTAGCGACACGCAGTTGACGAAGTTCCATGGTATCTATCAGCAAGACGATCGCGATATCCGCGACGAGCGCCAGGCGCAGGGGGTGGAGCCCGCATACGCATTCATGATTCGTGTGCGTATGCCCGGCGGCGTGTGCACGCCAGAGCAGTGGCTTGCTATGGACCAGATTGCGGACGAGCACGGAACCGGCTCGCTCAAGATCACCACTCGCCAGACTTTCCAGTTCCACGGTGTTATCAAGCGCCACCTCAAGATGGCGATCCAGGATATCAACCGCGTCTTGCTGGATACCCTTGCTGCTTGCGGTGACGTTAACCGGTACGTCTACCTACTTTCAAGCCAGAGATTTTGCTGACACTTTTTGATCCTAGTAACGTCATTTGCTCTTCCATACCGTCGATCTCGACAATCCACAAACAGACTTACGAATTCGCAAAGCGCGTTAGCAGCCACCTCGTTCCTCGCACAACCGCATACCACGAGATTTGGTTGGACAAGAAGCTGGTTGCAGGCGATGCCCTGAAGGACGTCGAGCCGTTATATGGCGAGTTTTATCTGCCCAGGAAGGTACGATCAGGCCATCGCTGCAGAGAGTCATGCGCTGATCGCTCTACCACAGTTCAAGATTGCTGTTGCAGTGCCTCCTCAAAACGATGTCGACGTCTTTGCCAATGACGTCGGATTCATTGCTATCGTCGACGAGAAGGGTGAGCTGTCCGGCTTCAACGTCACTGCAGGCGGTGGTATGGGCGTTACCCACGGTAACAAGAAGACGTACCCCCGCACCGGTTCGTTGCTCGGCTTTTGCACCGTTGAACAGGGACACGATGTTGCCGAGAAGATCATGCTGGTGCAGCGTGACAACGGTAATCGAGCAGAGTTCGTCTCTTCCACTTTCAATCCAAAGCTTAGCTAATACTTGTGCTTTTCCAGCCGTAAGAATGCACGCCTGAAATACACCATCGATCGCATGGGTTTGGAAACCTTTAAGGCCGAGGTAGAGAAGCGTCTCGGCTACAAACTGCAGCCTGTGCGCCACTTCTCGTTCGACCGCAACATTGACGACTTCGGTTGGATTCGCGGCGATGACGGCAAGCACCACTTCTCGTGTTTCATCGAGAACGGCCGTGTGCAGGACGAGCCCGAGCGCGACTTTAAGACGGCCCTGCGCGAGATTGCCAAAGTGCACCGAGGCACGTTCCGGCTGACGACGAACCAACACCTGGTGATCAGCGACATTGCGGACGAAGACGTACCGCAGATCAAAGAGCTCCTCGCAAAGTATAATCTCGACTACCTGAACTTCAGCGGCCTGCGGCTGTCGTCGTCGGCATGTGTCGCGTTCCCGACGTGCGGCCTCGCGATGGCTGAGTCCGAGCGGTACCTACCTATCCTTATCGACAAGGTCGAGAAGATTTGCGAGGAGAACGGCCTGCGTAACGACTCAATCGTCATGCGCATGACTGGGTGCCCGAATGGGTGCGCGCGGCCGTACCTCGCGGAGGTTGCCTTCGTTGGTAAGGCACCAGGCTCGTATATGATGTTACTCGGCGGCGGCTACTACGGCCAGCGCATGAACAAGATTTACAGAGGTACGAACTGCTTCTTCGTCGTGGTGGATTTCGCACTGACTCTGGTCTCTCAGACGCTGTGACAGAGTCAGAGATCCTGGCGATCCTCAAGCCGATGATCAAGCAATACGCTTTGGAACGCCTCGAAGGCGAGCACTTTGGTGACTTTGTAATCCGTGTGGGCTACATTGCGCCGACGGAGTCCGGCATGACATGGTGGGACGGTGCTGGTGGCGAGGGTGTGCACCGGGAGGCGGTTGTATGACTTACTGGTGACTGATAGAACAAAAGCTTTGAGCAATGTGCAATGTTACATGTACAGTAAGGATCTTCTTTCTGCCGTCGTGCACCGCGCCATGCAACTAAACATGCGGAGTCATCCCCATATTAAAATGATCGACTAAATTCCCCAATAGGCATTGTGTACAGATTGTGGTAGAGTGCGAAGGAAAATGATACAGCTAGAGATACAATACGGAATCCGTTTGGGAACCAATAATGCGGCAAAGTTTGTACAGGTAAACCGTCAAGTTCCGGGCGGCCCTCCGACGAGTGTGTCGATACGTCTGTGGGGTAACATTATTAGCGAGAATGCCGCGGAGGGCACGCGGACGTACTCACAAGGTGCGCCGATGCGGAAGGCCTTCTCCGTCTTCGCTCAGAGCTTCGCCGCGACGGCAATAGAGCGGGAACCACCGAGCGGAGCAGGCGGGCCCCGCCATGCGGGAAGCTTGTGATTTTCGACTTTGGCGTACGCACTGTTCTCGCGGAGAGCCGTTTCGTTTTCGAGTTCGGTTACGGACGCGGTCGGGTCAGATGTGATATTATACAACAACACGATGAGTTTCAATCAAGTCTACTAGTGCCGCAAAAGCTGTTTTCTTACACTTGCTTGCTCGCCTTGGCCTCGGTCAGAGTCTCCTTGAGGGCTGCAATGACCTTGTCTAGGTCTCCACGCTCAGGGTGCACGGCGGTAATACCCATGTGACTTTTAGCGAGTTAGTGCGAGTCCGATATGAATTGCAATGCCGTTGCAAACTCACCCAATGCGGAAGTACTTGTCTGTGCCACAAAGGTTATCATCTCGAAGCCGAAGGGCAATTTAAGTAATGACTAACCTTTGTTTTCCTTGTGGATACCGCCGGTAACAACGATACCCTTCTGTGCCATCCGCGGGACGATGTCTGAAGGGGCTAGTCCCTCAGGCAAGTAGATCTAAATCATAATTCAGTCACTCATAGATCGACCACTGGATGCATGGACTTACTGCTGTCATGCCATTCGCAGCGTTGTGGGGATCGGCAGGGACCAACGTCAGGCCAAGCTCCTTAGCGGTGTTCCTGATGCGGTCAGCGGCGTGAATGTGAGCTCTGAAGCGCTCTTCAAGAGTGAGCTTCGGGTCTCTTAGAATCTCGATCAGCGACTGCCGGTACGAGCAGATCAGATTGACCGGAGGCGTCGCAAAGTAGGAAGGTTTGCCAGCTTCATACGCCTGCATGATGGGAAGCCATCGCTTCCAGCTCGAGTAGTAGCCAGCGATCAGCGCCTTGCGCTCGTTGCAGACCTGTGAGCAGTGTGAACAGTCGGCAAAGTGACGTAAGTGGTAGAAGTTACCTTCAAAGCTTTTTGGCTGGCGACGACAACGCTGATACCCGGGGGAGCACCAAGACCCTTTTGACTCGCAGACACGACAACATCGATGTTCCAAGCATCCATGCGGATCTCCTCGCTGGCCACGGAGCAAACACCATCCAAGATGACCTAAGATATTCGTTAGCAGACATCTGGAGTAGGGGTGTACTATAGAACACACAAGAGACTCGGGAGCCAGCCGCTGGCAGACCTCGCCGATCATCTTCGCGTCGGACAGAACAGCTGTAGAGGTGTCGACATGGCTGAAGCAAACAAGCTTGTACTTTTTGACTCTCAAAGCCGACTCGAGTTCATGCTGCGAGACCGCCTTGCCAAAGTCCGCACGGATCTCATCGACGTTCGCGCCGTATGAGCGCAGACTTGACAATCGTGCAATCGTGCAATCGGTCAACCGACAGTGCAGATGATGAATCTGCAAGTACTCACCAATCCGCAAAGCTGTCTCCGAAATAGCCGCAGTTGAGTAGGAGCGCATCTTCACCGGGCTCGATCAAGTTCGCGGCAACCTAGGAGGGTGTGCCAAAGCGTTGGCATCTACACGCATACCAGGGCCAGGGAGACATACCTGATCCCAGCCGAGAGTACCAGATCCAGCGATTAGGAACGGCTGGCCAGCTTCGGTAAATACCACCTCTCTGGTGTCATGGTGTAAATGTGAGCGACCCGGACAGACTGGGGACATACGAAGTACGTACCTCGTCATGCGGATGGCATCGCCAAAGATGGGGATGAAGTCTGCGCCGGCGTGGGCAAGAGGGGGGAGTGCATTGGCGTAGAGAACCTTGCAGAGAGCTGAGGACAAAAGCGCATGAGCGAATCGGGGAATTGACTCACCTCATCAGAGACTTCTATGGGGCCGGGGATACTAAAACAGCACCTTCAGCCTGACATTCTGTAGAGTAAGGAGAAGTTCACGCACACCAGCAACCTGTAATTTCCTCCGTGTTTAGCACACATCTACATGATACCTGGATGCACATACTTGTGAGGAGCCTGGCACATTCGGCGTCAATACTTGGGAGTCACCGCGAGAGTGCTCAGCGAGCTCACCTGCTTGAACGTCGACATAGTGCGTGCAACGAGCGAAGATTGAAAAGTGCTAAAAGACGCAGAACAAGCAGTGAGCGACTGGGCTCGACGGAGGGGATAGAAGAGGGCGGCGGATGGCGGTCTAAGAGCAAGATGGGGAAGCATTGCGGGAAAAGTGAAGTCACCTGATTTGAGCAAGCGCAGATGAGCTGAAGGCTGTCTGTTTCGTTCGGTGTTCCGTGTCACCTCAAAACGATCCGTCGCTGTTTTGCAGCCTGTTTCAGCTCGCAGACCAAGTCATTATATATCGGGCATCATAGCGTATGTTACAACGAGGAGTCAGGGATGGGGCGGGGTACGACTTGCAATGCCGCCATAGGAGCACCGGCACACCCCTCGTGAGCGCACAAATTCGGCAGATCCGGGACCTCCAGGAACGCGCGAAGGAGTACACAGAAGACCTACGCACCCCTAGCGACCATTCAGCGACCGCATCGCCTCTCCACCGTCTGCTATGCCGTTCGCGTATGCACCACCGCCACCTGTCATGCCCGCGATCGTCCTCTGCAAATCCGCCCACTCTGTTTCGCGGGGGAGCGCCATGTCTCCAATATCATACACGTAGAGCTTTCCATCGCTCCCTCCAAGCGCAGCGCGTCGTCCGTCTTTGTGATCCCACTGCAGCTTGTTGATAGCCCGTCCCTGCCCCACGGTCGTCGACACCACGGGGACCTGTCGCAGTGAGATCGGAGGCCGGAGCGTGAGAGAAGCATTCTGCTTACCTCCGTATCCGAGTTCAGGTTCCACAGGTCAAACTTCCCCGAGCCGTCAGCCGAGGCAAATACGGCTGGGTGCGCCGGATGCCATTTCACATCATACACGTAGTCGTCTGCTTCGTCGAACGAGTACAATGGCGCGACTATGTTCGCGCTTGTGGACGGCTTCGCGAGCGACTTCGCGCGCCAGAGCTTGACCGTCCAATCCGCCGAGCACGTCAGGAAGAGGTCTGAAAAGTCCACGGGCCCGTGTAATGGGTGAAAATGCAAGCCCATCACCGGCCCTGAATGTCCTTTGTAGACATCATACTGGTTAAGACCGGCCTTGGCGCCGGCGCGATCGTATCTGTTCGCCTGGTACACATTGCCCTCCTCCGTGCCGACCCAGAACGTCGTCGTCTCATTGTAAGGGAAATTGAGCGTCGTAATTGCTACTTCTCCCGTCTTGTTATGCCCGGCATGGACAAGTTCAAGCGTTTCCTAATGTAATCTGAGCGTCATTCGTAATACAATCGGACCGAGCATACCTGGGGTTGCGCGAGCATGTCGACGAGCCAGCTGCACACCATACCGTCCGTGCTGCTCGTGATCAAGTTGTGGGCGTTCTGGGTGCCAACCATCTGCATTGCGTACACCGGGTGGGTGTGTCCTGCCGCTGACAATGGCGTCTTCAGCACCGGGAGGTGCTTCGAACGTGTGTCCCATAAGAGAATCTGTCCAGAGTACGTGCCCCCGAATATGAGATTTGAATGAAAAGGCGAGAATGTCACTGAAAGAACGTCCGACTGCGCAGCAGGTTGAGCTAACAATCCGTCCTTCGAGCGGAGGAGAACACACCTGCGAATGAAAGACAAACTCCGGGCGCTCCAGAAGATGCATATTCCATACCGCTACGATACCATCGGGTTCATTCAGCGCGGCCGGGTTCTTGTTGTATGATGCGCAACATAGTTCCGGATACTGCAGGACCCAGGGTGAGACAGCACTCGTCAGTGCCTAGACTGGGACACACCTTTGGTGACCAACCTACGTCCGTGATAGACCGGTTCTTACCATGCCGTTCGTCATAGAACTCGCACAGTCGTTTAACCCTCCGGCCCTCAGAATCATCGCTGCGCACGTCAGCTGAGACGCGTCGAGGTATTGAGTGATCTACTTACGCGCCGGTCTCTGTGCCGATGGTGTAATCACGCACATAGTCGTAATTGTCGTTCAGTGCCCGCTGAATGATCTTGGTAGAGTGTTCCACGAAGTCAAGGAACTCGGGTGCAGAGAATACGCTGGCTTTCTCTTCATCCGTCATCTCTGTGAAAAGTTAGCGGAAGGCGAGAGACATAAAACGCCCCCTTGCCTCGAATCTCTGCCTCGATCTCTTTGTCAAGCTGGACGCTCTCCTCCTCAAGCTCCTTCTCTCGTTGAACACGCTCTGCTTCAGCTGCTTCGCGTTCTCGGAGAAGACGTTGGTGGTTTCCCTCTTCGGAGGGTGCATCGGCGGGCTCATCTTCGAGAGCCATAGTCTGTACTTCCTTGTTATAAATCACGCGTTCCTGCGCAGTCGTTCAGCTTGTTGCTTAATGTGCTCATCTGTCCATTCAATTCACCTTCTGCGGTAGCTCAAAGAGCTCTTGCTCTACGTCAATTAGGTCGGGTATCATCCGTGGGGTCATCTCTCTGGAACAGTAAGCCACTGCGTCGCGCATATATCTTGCTGTGCGCACCTGTCCATGACATGATCGGTACCTCCGTTGGACATGACCATGGTCGTCCCAAAGCTGAGGCGGTCAGAAGCTACATCACTTTGTCTGCTTGCACGGCCTGATTGAGATTGAGACAATGAGGACGGACCAGGTAGGGGGGTCGAGGACGGCAGGAGAGGTGTGCCGGGTATCGAAGAAGACGGGGAATCAACGGTGTCGAGCGTCGTCCTGCGGCTGGGCCCGATGAGGGTAGAGACGAGGTCGTCGACGTCTCGCTGGGCAACGGCAATGTTTGAGGACTAGTGTATGGTACAAGTTGGCTCGATACAAACATGTCGTTTGACTGTTAAACTTACTGGGGATCCTTGGGCTCTGCGCTCGAGCTCCTGCTGCTTTCTGAGCTCTTTAGCCTTCTTAAGCTCAGCAAGTTTGGCTCGTTTGGCTTCAATCTCTGCCCTGCGTCGGTCCGACATCGTCAATGAGGTGTTCGCCGCCGCTGAAGCCGTGGTCGTCGACAGGGCTAGCGGAACGAACGGCGTTTACCAGATCGTGGTCGCGTCAATGTACTTGCTTGATGGGACGCGCTTGACGCCCGACTTCGTCTCTGTCGAACCACTTCCCAAGAAATACGCACATACCAACCCTTCTCTCAACTTTCACTTTCTCAAGCTTGAGGGTGCTTTCAACTCTCACTAACCTTCTTGACCCTTTCTCCTAGTCCGGATGGCCTACAGCCCAATTCACGACCTCCCGGCCTCTGGAAAGACGCGTTTGACCGACTACTCGCGATGGAGGCTTGCGATCACAGAGGATGGTCGGCATACGTGGCATTACCTTAGGACGGACGAGGAGTACGAACAATGGCCGCAGACGACACTAGACAAATACTGGCTTGGCCTCCCCACTGTACGCTCCATTATACGACCCTTCTTCCTGACACTCATCCGCTTGTTGCGCTGGTAGGACTTACCTGCGCTTCCTCCAGCAAAAAGCGCCTTGGAGGCCGCACGGAATGGCTACACATTCTATAAGCATCTACAAGCAGACGATGGACACTGGCCAGGAGAGTATGGTGGACCCATGTTCTTGCTCCCCGGCCTTGTTATTGGATCTTACGTGACCGGCATGCCCTTCAAGCAGGAAGAACGTCTGGAGATGATTCGCTACCTACTGAATAGGGCAAATCCAGAGGATGGGGGCTGGGGAATGTACGTCTGCGGTCTCAACCATGCGACACCTGGCCGCTAATGCTGCTAAGTCATGTCGAAGGGCACTCCACGGTGTTCGGAACAGCGCTGAATTACTGCGTTATGCGTATCCTCGGAGCTCCTGCCGACCATCCTGCACTAGTGAAAGCGCGTGCCACCCTACATGAGCTCGGAGGTGCGACAGGTGCCCCGGCGTGGGGCAAGTTTTGGCTTTCGGTCCTGAACGTGTATGAATGGGAAGGAAATAATCCCATAACACCTGAATTATGGTGGGTGAAGGTGTGGCAATATCTCTGCAAATCGCTGAACCCTTGAGTAGGGTCTTCCCGGACTGGCTCCCGTTCCATCCCCACAAATGGTGGATTCACACCCGCACTGTCTATATACCTATGGCGTACCTTTATGGCATGCGTTACAAGATGGAAGAGAATGATCTCATCATGGCTCTTCGAGAGGTAAGCACACATATCCAACTACTTTGCATCGCTTTCGAACGCGTCTTGTAGGAGCTCTATCCTACCAATTATTACCAAATCGACTGGTCAGCACAGCGCAATAACATCGCCGAGGCGGACCTCTATATGCCTCACAGTACTCTTCTGAATTCGATGTACCTCATCCTCAGCGCATACGAACAATGCGTAATTCCGCCTGTTCGTCGCGCTGCCCTTGACAAGTGCTATCAGCTCATCGTCCGCGAAGACGAGAACACTGGCTACCAGACACTCGGTCCTGTTTCAAAAATGATGAACCTCATCGTTCGCGCACTTGTCGATGGACCCGAAAGTGAAGCGTATAAAAAGCACATGGCAGGACGAGACGACTTTATGTGGGTTTGCGCCGACGGCATGATGATGACGGGCACGAACGGGAGCCAGCTGTGGGACATCGCGTTCATTACACAAGCCCTTGTTGAGACCGGACTCGCCGAGGAGCCTGAGAACCGCGATAGCCTGGTCAGGGCCCTCCAGTGGCTCGACATGGCGCAGATCAAAGACAATCCGCGGCATTTTACTGTATCGTACCGCCATCCTACCAAAGGCGCTTGGCCATTCTCGACGCGGACGCAGGGCTACACCGTTAGCGACTGCACGGGGGAGGGCCTCAAGGCCGTGCTCTACATTCAGAACCATGTTGAGGATGCACCGAAACTCGTCTCGGAACGGCGCATGCAGGATACCGTCGACATCCTCCTGGGCATGCAGAACGCGGACGGCGGCTTTGCGAGCTACGAGCTCATTCGTGGGCCTGGTTGGCTCGAGTGGTTGAACCCGGCGGAAGTCTTTGGTGACATCATGATCGAGCATAGTTATCCAGAGTGTACAACTTCTGTGATCACCGCGTTATCCATCTTCCGTCGTCACTATCCCGACTACCGCAAAGATGACATTGAGTGAGTAGACATTTCTCTGCTTGTTGGCGTCTCGTTGATAAATCTTTTCAGTCGAGTGACGGTCGGCGCGGTCAGATTCCTGCATGCGGCGCAGAGGCCTGAGGGTGGATGGTTCGGCTCGTGGGGCATCTGCTTCACATATGCGACCCAGTTTGCTCTTGAGAGCCTGTCGCTCGTTGGAGAGACGTATGAGACAAGTGCATACGCACGACGGGCATGCGAGTTCCTTATTAGCAAACAGCGCGCGGATGGCGGATGGGGCGAGAGCTACAAAGTGTGTTATCCTCTCTTGTGCTAGGCTGTAGTACTGATTTTATACATAGTCCTGCGAGCTCGGCAAATGGGTCGATCACGAAGACACCCAGGTCGTACAGACCTCATGGGCAACAATGGCACTCATGTACGCCCGATACCCGTACGCTGAGCCCATAGAGCGCGCCGTAAGGCTCGTCATGTCACGACAGCGGACAGATGGCTCCTGGGCCCAGGAAGCGATTGAGGGAGTGTTCAACAAGAATGTCGCGATTGCCTACCCGAACTTCAAGTTCTCGTTTACGATCTGGATGCTTGGCCGCACGCACAGGTATCTCAAGGAGCTCAAAAGCAAGGCTAACGGCAATGCTCAAACACATTAGACTTGTTGAGAATGCCTTAGAGTGTAGTACCTATCCGTAGCCTACCTAGTTTGTTGCGTAATGACTAATCCTTTTTGTACGTGTTCGCGTGCGGGAATAGAGCCTAGAATGGTGCAGCGGGCAGACACACCCGATAGTTACACGTGTAACTTTGAAAGCGATCGTGAGGCGCGACAGTACTTGTACGCGTGCTGATGATGGCCGCCACGACATTCATCTCCCCCTCTGACCTTTGCTACCATCTCCTTCCGCTCCTCGACACCTCGTGGCTAGATCCATGTCTTCTACGTTCGCCGACCGTCCTCTCAAGATCCTAGTGCTATTCGACGTTGACGGGACACTTTCGCTTGCTCGCCAAGTACGTCTGAAATGTACATCGCACATGGTGGTCTGATTACGACACGTATATCGCCAGGCTGCTTCGCCAGAGACGATGCAGCTCCTCCGTGAGCTCCGGAAGAAGGCCGTCATCGGCGTTGTGGGTGGCTCAGACTTCGTCAAGGTATCTGAACAGCTCTCTGTCGGAGGTGCCAACGGTGCGTTTCTCTTTTCAGTCACGAAGATCATGGTGCTCAAATTACTACTGAAGTGACTGAGGAGTTCGACTACACGTTTGCCGAGAACGGCTTAACCGCTTTCAAGCTTGGCAAACAGCTTGAGCAGGAGTCATTCATCAGTTGGATCGGCGAGGAGAAGTACAAGAAGCTTGCGAACTTCATCCTGCATTACATCGCAGACCTTGACATTCCTATCAAGCGGTGTGTTCCCAGCAATCTACGAGTATTGTTCCGTGTATCTGATTTAAGCAGGGGTACTTTCATCGAGTTCCGCAACGGTATGATCAATGTTAGCCCGCTGGGCCGCAACGCGACGTATGCCATCCTCCACTATCGCGGTAGAAGTACCTTATTTGACACTGGGTATAACATAGTATTCAAGAGCGCAATGAATTCGAAGAGTACGACAAGGTATACCCAGCATCTTCTCCTTCGTGCTTGCATATCTCATCGATTTCAGAAAACTGGCATCCGTGCTGAGTTCGTGCGCGTACTGAGGGAGAAGTTCCCCGACTACGGCCTTACATTCAGCATTGGCGGGAAGATTTCGTTTGATGTCTTCCCGAACGGCTGGGATAAGACTTACTGTCTGCGTCATGTTGCAGATGAGGGCTTCTCAGAGATTCACTTCTTCGGTGACAAGACATACCCGGTACATCGGGCATATCTTCTTCTGAATTGATAACTGATCGATATGCAGGGTGGCAACGACTATGAGATCTTCTCGGACTCTCGTACAATCGGCCACTCAGTAAAAGACCCACAGGACACCATGCGGCTTCTCAAAGAGCTCTTCTTCACCTCCTAAATTAATTAGAGTCTCTATGACAGAATAAGGAATATAGGATCAAGCATTAATGTTATGTCCGCAATACATATTTCCAAGCTTACATATAGAACCAGAAAAATCTACACACGTCCGCGCCATCTACGCCAAAGCACAGCGCTGACACCGCCCCCAAATGCGAGCGCGGCGACGCACACAGAGAAAGCGGTCTGCCAGCATTGTGGACCGTGGCATACCTGCTCTTCTTCTGGTGCTGTCCTACCCGGCATGGGTTCTGCTAACGCAGACGACTGTCGATCAGCTAGGAAGGCGTACAGGTACGAGAATGCTGTTGTCCCGACAAACGGTGCATATGAGATGATACCGAAGTTGCGGCCAAGGTTCGCATGACCATAAATTGCGCTGAGAATACCAGGGCTAGAAGAAACTTGTCAGGCATTGTCTGAGCGTACGGACGCAGTAAACATGGACGCACAGAATTGTAAAAGTTATTCCGTAGGAGATTCCGACGCCAACGCTGAGCACACTCATGCCCGCTCCCTGAGAGCGTACAACCGGCGTATTGCTCGCAAGAAACGAGACGAAGGAAAGCAGCAGGAGCGCGCAAGCGCACAGCAAGAATGCCATCCTAGACACAAAATGCCTGCGGGGGAACGCATAGTATACCCCGCTCTTGAAACTACCGCCGGTGAACGGTGCGTCGTCTGCATCGTCGACGCCTCCCAGTTTGTACCGCGAGCTGCTGGGCGACGGGCCTTCACTACCTGCAGTAGAGTCGGTTGTCGGCCGCGGGTACGAGACAGGCACAGGAGCGATGAAGTCTGCGAGCGGACCGATGACTAGCCGCGAGACCATGTTTGTGAACGAGAGAAGCTGCACTTGAGTTGTTATTGACGACCCAGCCACTTTCTGGATCAGGGATGTGAAGGAGGATACGCTTGGTGCGCCAAGGGACAAGAAGATCGACGAAAGATTGGCGATAACCATCTCAGACTGCGTGGATGAGAGCAACGGTTATGGATCAGCCAAAATTTAGAGAACGGAGCACGTACACAGCCGACTACAATTGCTATGATCGTCATCAAAGCCCAAAAGTGCGGGTCGCGCAAGAGATCCAGCGTAGTGCCATGTTGCGGAGGAGATACCTCGTAGTGCTCCACAGGGAATATGTCCAATTGGACCGAAGCAGCTTTCTTAGGCGATGCGGCCTCTGGTAGCGAGGGAGAAGGGAGCTCTGGGAGTAAAGGAGACGTCTCAGACGACGAAGCGGAAGCTTCTAGCCGAGAGGTTGTTTCAAGTGACATTCTGCGATGGTATGGAACAGCATCCTCTTGGGTTTCCCCTGAAGCCAGGGATGCTGTAGACGATAATCCTGGCAGAACGAGGGCACCAAAGAGATGGACTATGCCCGTCACGACTGATAGCAGCGTCAAAAAACTTGCGACATTCAGCGTGCCGGCTGTGGTGAATGTGCGGTCAGCTATGACTGATAGCAGTAGTGGTGAGCATCCAAAGAGAGCCATGCTCGTCCCAGATGCAACACCAATGTAATGCGGGAAGGTCTGGGTGGCAGAGAAGACGAATGAGAAGTATCTGCTTTTCGGATGAAGTTAGGTAGTGGCCAGAGCCGAAAGCGCACGCACGAAAATACTGTCCCCATCCCGACTAGCCCAAAGTACACCACCATTCGTCTGAACACGTCCGTCGTATCGGCTTCCCTTGGTGGTATATCCGCGATCTCATATGCGAATAGACCAAACCCAAACGAGAAGCATAGGCCTGCGATGAGAGAGCAGGTGCGGGCACCGCGAGTGTCGAGGACCTTGCCTACCAGAGCTGCGATCGGGTATTGTCCAACCATGCCCCTAGAAGCCAATGAGTAGTCAGACTTTAGAAAACTGGCTTTGTACTTACGCGAGCGCAATGGTGGTGAGCTGAGGCTGTGTGAAGTGGTGATGTTCCACGAGGGCTGGCGAGAAGAGAGGATAACTGTAGAGACCTCCTGCCCATAATCTGCGGATAGCCTCGTTAAGTTGTACGCTCAACGTATGAATATAAGCATAAGCGACTCACGCATTTGCTGCTATCGCAAGGCAGCGCAAGCTTTTCTTACCCCAAGTCAGGTTCGACATAGTGGCGAGCAGACAGGAGATGGTTCTTGTTCACGTGAACGAGGGATGGTAGCCTGAGCAGTGAGCTAGCATGGCCGAGACAACCGAAATTAAGTATAATAGTTTTGACGCTCACACTCATCCCGCTCAAGGTATGCGTATAGCTCATCGCGGTGAATGTCGGCCGCATGGCAGCGAACTCGAGAATGCGGTTATTCCCAATATTCAACGGATAGATATTATGAAAGTAGAGAGCAATAGTAAGAGTGGCGAGCGACAGGCTGTAGGATTAGTCTACGCAGATTCAACAGGCTCCGGCTGCTGAACAAGAATCTGTTCCTTGCTGGCAGTAGCAAGCTCTTGCTCAAGAATTTTTCCTCCGAGAGCTTCGACCTGTCCCTTGGGTGTCTGGAGCTTCGCATTCTCCATTGCAGCCTTGACAGTATCCGAGACTTTCTTTCCAACACCTACAGGTGCCCGCTCCCACCTCACGACCCGTATACCCACACCCGCCAACGCATGCTTCTCCAGGTATCGCACCCACCGCTCGACGACCTCGGGGTCGGTGTCCCAGGCCTTGATGACTCGCTTGTGCGTCTTACGGGAAAAATTCTCCTGCGCTTTCTTGTGCACGAATGGACCCTTGAGGACCGTCCACAGGCTGCGTTGGATAGGTAGCGGCACAGGCTTCGATATTGGAATCGCCAGAGCCGCGGCAGCGTGTGCGACGAAGTGAGTAAAAAGTTGAAGGAGGGAAATGTGGTAGGAACGAAGATGGATGGTTGCCGCTGGGATACCATGGGTGCGTGGGTGGTAGTTGGGCTCATGCAACGACCGGCCGTGTTCAATGGAGGTAGCATACTCCTCTTCCGAGATTTCCACCTCACCATTATCGCCCAAGACTGAGAAAGTAGAGCTCTCCGGAGCCGCTTCGGAAGCATATTTTCTTTTAACACTAGAGGTCACAGTGCTGGCGACGCGAGATATAAGCTCGATCCTGTGCTCTGGAAGGCCGGCAGACGTACGAAGTGCTCGCCGTTCTCATCCCAGTTTCGAAGTGAACAGCTCGGCGAGTACCCGCCAAAGAGGCTGTCACACGCGGTGCCCATCTTCTTGCCATTTTTGAACACGTCCGAGAGAACATGCTGGAGACGATTGCACTAGGTGAGCTCGAGAGCAGGCGGGTCGTGGCAGGGCGAACACAGGCCGATAGGCGCCTGAATAGTGCCCGCTGCCAAGAACGCCCGCGTCTGAGTTTACGCGCCTCATTTCTTGCCTCTGCACGCGTCTTGTCCTCCACCCACAACGTTGCTCTCAACGGCCCTTCCTAGTATTTCCTCTCTCTGCCTCGGTGTGACGCGCCAAAATGGCGACAAAAGAGAACCTCCCACTAAGACCCTCTGAAGCAATTACAGAACCCCCGGCGAAACGTCGAAAGCTCTCTCTATCACCACATGATGTTGACCACGACGCGCCGATATCTTCCCCCGCGATGACCCAGCCTCCCTCGACACAAACCCAAAGTCAAAATCAGAAGAAAGGACTATCTCAGAATGCAAGCCAGCCTCAGTCGTCTTTCGCTGATGTCTTGGCACGTCTGAAGGAGACTTCGGCGGAGAGTCGCGGTGCGTGTCTTGGCTGGCTGGCCAACTATTTCTTATCCGACGCGTTATATATAATCTTTCGTTCCTCTCCTTTTCCCAATGTTAACGAGTGCTTCCTTCTTGACCTGCGCCACGTCATACTGCTGGTGTACTCATTGTGGCTTGCTTACCAATAGAGGCCGAGGGAGGTGCGGACCAGTGGGCGCGCCCGAGATTGCCACGGATTGATCCCAAGAAAGATGCTATCGGTGTGTATGGCCATCTTTCTGTAGTATACACGTTTCTTCATTTTTTGTACAGTTTTCCAGCAGATTGACATTGAGGATTCAACGGAGTATGGTGGGGGTCCCACCCTGCGGATGTTCGGCGTCACACAAGTGAGTTCTATCCCGCTCAGTTTTTTGTTCTTTCTACCGTTTTGATTGTCTTAGTCCTACGAAAACTGTTCTTGGAATCTTGTCATGGGTGGTGGGCTAACAATATCCATAGGCGGGGAATTCTGTCCTTGCGCATGTTACCGACTTTCACCCCTATTTCTATGTTGCGGCTCCGCGCGGTTTCTTGACAGACGATATTGGAGCATTTCGCTCATATCTGAATGTACGTAATCTTGGTCTGTCGTCAAGTTCGTGGTTCGTTAAGTGTCATCTCACAGAATCACGCATCTGGTGGATCAGTTCGAGATGTCTCCTTAGTCTACAGGCGATCTCTTTGGGGTTATCGAGGAGATGAAAAAGTGCCCTTCATCCGCATTGAAGTGTCCGACCAGCGCAGCCTTCCGAAAACCAGAGATAAGTGGCTCTTCAATTCATTTGTCCTTTGCGAAACTTATCATCATATGATGTATACGCATCTTCGAGCGTGGCGAATGCCACTTCAATAACCTGTTCAAGACAGATAGCGTTTCTACATACGAGTCCAATATTGCCTATGTGCTGCGGTTTATGATCGATGCGAAGGTTCGTGTAAACAGTAACAGTACAGATGGCAAAATGGTGCTGATACTTCCTGCAGATTGTAGGTATGAACTGGGTGGAACTACCAGCAGGAGGCTATACCATTATGCAGGAGAAGGACAAAAAGTCGCACTGTCAGCTGGAAGTTTCTGTCAAGTCAGTATCTCCGCCACTATTCGTTCCGGCATCATTTCTCATTGATCTGCTATAGATGGGATAAGATTGTTTCGCACCAGGCCGACGGCCCATACTCGCACACTGCTCCGCTGCGGATTCTGAGCTTTGATATTGAGTGCGCGGGCCGTAAGGGTATTTTCCCGGAGCCGCAGGTCGATCCAGTCATTCAGATTGCTAGCATGGTCACCAGACAAGGTACCTTCTTGCCTTTTCTATGCATGCGTGGCTGTCTCACCGCATCTCAACAGGCGAAACTCACCCGTTCATTCGAAACGTCTTCACTCTTTCCACCTGTTCACACATTGTTGGCTCGCAGGTGCTTTCCTTCGATTCGGAAGTCGACATGCTCAATGCGTGGCGAGACTTTGTCAACGAGATTGACCCTGATGTTATCATTGGGTATAACATCGCAAACTTCGACCTGCCGTACTTGATTGACAGAGCCATCGCAGTCAAGGCGAAGGACTTTCCGATGCTGGGACGGATGATTGGTTGGTTTATGCTGCTCTCATTTGAAATCTGTCAGCTAATCAATGTCTTAGAGGTGAAGGCGCAGACGAAGGAGACCCATTTCTCATCCAAGGCCTTCGGTCAGCGGGACTCGAAGGAAACGGCTCTCGACGGCCGTCTGCAGATCGATATCCTGCAATATATGCAGCGTGAGCATAAACTGCGGTCATACACTCTCAACTCCGTCTGCGCACAGTTCCTCGGCGAGCAGAAGGAGGATGTACATCACTCGGTCATTACTGAGCTCCAAAACGGTGGCCCCGAGAGTAGACGGCGTCTCGCAGTCTACTGTCTGAAAGACGCCTACTTGCCTCAACGCCTCATGGACAAGCTGATGTGCTTTATTAACTACATTGAGATGGCGCGTGTGACTGGTGTCCCGTTCAACTACCTGCTCTCCCGAGGACAGTCGATCAAAGTACTTTCGCAACTATTCCGAAAAGCCAATGAGGAAGAATACGTGGTGCCCGCCCTTAGAGGCGAAGGTGAGCTTTTTTTTGGTTACCTTCTTCACCGCGGGTTGGCTGATACAATCGTTTGTAATCAGGGACTGATGAGCAGTACGAGGGCGCTACGGTCATTGAGCCACACAAAGGTTACTACAAGGCCCCCATTGCCACCCTAGACTTCGCCTCCCTGTACCCCTCGATTATGATGGCCCACAACCTCTGCTACACTACTCTCCTCGACAAAGGAACCATCGATAGGCTGGGCCTGGAGAAGGATGTGGACTACATCCAGACGCCCAACAATGGTCCGTTGCTCAATTCTGGGAGCTGCTGGTCAGAGTCGCTGACGGAGTGCGCTGGCAGATTTCTTCGCCACAGCGAAGCGACGCAAGGGTCTCCTTCCGATTATTCTTGAGGATCTAATCTCTACACGTAAGCGTGCTAAGGCCGACCTCAAGAAAGAGACGGACCCCTTCAAGCGGGCTGTCCTGGACGGTAGACAGCTGGCTTTGAAGGTGAGCAACGCTCCTCGCCGCCCGAAAACTGGGGATGTTCTCATCTTGCTACTGTGACAGATCAGTGCTAACTCTGTGTATGGCTTCACTGGAGCGACCATCGGCAAACTGCCATGCCTTCCAATCTCGTCTAGTACAACAGCTTTCGGTCGACAAATGATTGAGAAGACGAAGCAGGTTCGTTCGGTTCATTAGTAGCGTGCTAGTCATACTCAAATTGCTTGTAGGAGGTCGAGGCAGAGTATTGCATCGCTAACGGGCACGCGCATGACGCGGAGGTCATATATGGTGACACAGATTCTGTGATGGTCAAATTTGGACCGACAGACCTGGAGACGGTCATGCAGCTCGGTGCGTGTGCATTAGCCCGCCTGCTTATGTAGATACTAACAAGTGTCGTTCTCATATGATAGGAGCGCAAGCTGCGGAGTTTGTCACGCAGAAGTTCATTAAGCCAATCAAGCTCGAATTCGAGAAAGTATACTTCCCGTACTTGCTCATCAGCAAGAAGCGGTACGCTGGCTTGTACTGGACACGACCGGATAAGTACGACAAAATGGATACCAAAGGCATCGAGGCGCGTGTAACCGCTTGCTTGGAGAGATCTCGGCTCACATTGTCATTTTAGACTGTCCGGCGAGATAACTGTCGATTGGTTTCCACTGTCATCTCGACCTGTCTCAATAAGATGCTGATCGACCGAGATGTTGATGGCGCGATTGAGTACACTAAGCAAATCATTTCTGATTTGCTCCAGAACAAGGTCGACATGTCGCAGCTGGTGATTACAAAGGCTTTAGCCAAAGCAGGTATGTAATGAGATCGGTACAAGGGGAAATTTCAATCTCATCCGTTGCCACACCCAGACTATGCCGGAAAGCAGGCCCATGTCGAACTAGCCGAGCGGATGAAGCAACGCGACGCAGGTTCCGCGCCGAACGTGGGGGACCGAGTCGCATATGTCATCATCAAAGGCGCGAAGGGCGCGGCGGCCTACGAGAAGTCTGAAGATCCTATCTTTGTCTTGGAGAATAACATGCCTATCGACACGAAGTACTACCTCGAGAACCAGCTCTCGAACCCGCTTATGCGTATTTTCGAGCCCATCCTTGGCGAGAAAGCCAGCTCTTTGCGTGAGTAACCATCCCCGCTCCAGCAGAAGCCTCGTACTAAGGCAGAGTTCTAGTTTCTGGCGATCACACGCGGACGATTCAGATTGCCACACCAACAGTGGGCGGCCTCATGAAGTTCGCCGTTAAGACGGTGACTTGCATGGGTTGCAAGACACAGTTGAAACCTAGCAACAGTGTGTCGAACGGCGCGGTGTGCAACAACTGCCGCCCTCGTATCAACGAGTTTTACCAGAAACAGGTGACGAACGTGTCCGATCTACAGGTCCGATTCTCGCGCCTCTGGACACAGTGCCAGCGGTGCCAGGGATCGCTTCATCAGGATGTCCTGTGCACGAGCAAGGACTGCCCAATATTCTACATGCGCAAGAAGGCGCAAAAGGATGTCGAGGATGCCTCCGCGGTACTTGAACGATTCGACAATGAGATGTGGTAATGTATACTGTTGCATACGGACGCTCTGGGCGCATGTAATTCTTAGATTTCATAGCAATTCATGCATAGCATTGATAGCACCTACGTACGGTTCGACGAACTATTTGACACTGGTTATACGGCTGGCTGTTAGACTCTTCAGGGTGATGGTAAGATAGTAACCTGTGTTGCACTCTCTACGTCAGAACCAGCTTTCTCATCATTCTTTTCACTGCCCAGCTGCTCTACCAAGCCTTCTGCCGGACTCGGCAAACTAGTGACAGATGCCTCTGTTGAGAAAATGTGTGAGGCAACCAGCCATAGCGTGCGACGACCTTGCCAAAGGGGTAGCAGCGTGATGATTAAGCCAGCAGCCCAGGCCCACGCGAACGTCCAGACGACCCAAAGACGGAAAAAAGGCCTGCTGAAGACGTATCGCGTCCCGTACAAGGGCATGGGGAGGAGTATAACAAAGGCAAGCGTCACGGCCTACAGAAATGTCAAGATCGAATTGTGCTTGCAAAAGCTGCGAAGCTCACGATTGATGAGAACGCAGCAACCAAGGTCGCCCTCTTCATCTTGGCGTTGGTGGCTTCGTCCATCCTCGGGTCTTCGACTTTGCTCTGCTGGACGAGCTGCGTCTTCGTCATACCCGCCACATCACTGTCGTCGACGGCAACGATGTTCTCGAACTTCTCCCACTTGAAGTCTTGCGCGCCGAAAATGTAGGTGAGCATGGGACTGTAAACCATAGAAGAGAATAACGCCGTCGCATTACCGACGACAAGAGGCAAGGGTTCGCCTAAGGTGTCGATGGTGGTCTGTACCGATAGATAAATTGCATATTATTTTTCGACATGTGCGAACGGACATACCACATGATACCAGTGGCGTGTGGAACCGATCCAACACCCTAGACCTGTGGCTGTTCCAAGCAGAGGAGCTACAACAACTGCGACAGTGTTTTGCTTCCTCCATAAGAGAGTGCAAGCAATTGGGAACAGCGCGGGTCCGGTGATAATACCAATCGTCGTCTGGAGACACGGCCACGATGTAAGTTATGGAATGTTCTATGCAAAGCGATCACGTACTATAATGAAATTCACGCCAATAGCAGTGTGCGACAATCCCGTAGCAATGCATGCGCATATGGTCGCCCAACCGATGACGACGAAATGGCTGAGTTTTAGGAGCCGTCTGCCCGTGGCTTGTGGGTTAATGTAACCACGGTAAATGTCATAGGTCACGACTGAAGCGATGCAGACGAGGTCGGAAGAGAAAGCTGACGTGACCGCCATGAAGATCATGAGCAGCACCAGGACGGCACCGCCCTGCTCAAACACTGAGTGATGCATGGGATCGAAGTATACACAAGACTCACCTTGCCAAGGAGCGCCTGGGCAGCGTAGGGCAGAACCAGCCCCTTATTGATCTCGTCCGCCGTCATCATCCTCGGGAACGTCGGCCATACAGCGTTCGTCTGCAACACACGACCTACGAGACCGAATGTGGTAGCGAGACAGAAGGGGATTGCGAACCAACAGAGACCGCCAAGGAGGTACCCGCTCAGGGTGTCTGCCGGGTTAGCGGCGATGGCTTTCTGGAATAGCTGCACGTCAACCGTGGCGGCCCAGCCGGTGACGAATATAACAATGCCAAGCACCAGACTTTGGATGGAGTGAAACGTGAGGTATGAGCCTTCGGGGCTGCCTGGAGCCGGTGATGATTGGGCGGCGGATGTCAGGAGCGAGTACATCCTGTCCGGACTTCCTATGAGAGGACTTGTCGCATACGCGGAGAAGAGTGCGACAAGGATTATGACGTAGATGAAGACTGTGTGCATGTAATCCCTATTGAGACGGTATGAGGATCCGCTTTGACTTAACGCAGGATGCCTTACACGAGGAAAGTCGCCTTGACTGAATGGTGTCAGCAATGGCGCCTTCGATAACCAGGAGTAGTCACTCACTTCCACCAGTTGCTGTATAAATCACAACGCCTATGGGAAGCAAGAAGCAACTCGCCACCGGACTCATGCCAGTGATTGAAGAGAAAACAGCGGAACCTCAGGAAAACGGTTAGTCTATCACCGACGGACGTGTGCCAATGTAAAACCTACCTCCGACAAGGAGACCGACACAATTGAACAATTGCACCAGGGAAGAGTAGAAAATTTGAATGCAATGGCCGGGAACTCCGTATCTAACTGAAGGAGGGTGTGTTAGACTTCAATCAAACAGAGCGCGAACACCACGAACTCTTCGTCACTGAAGCTAAATCAGAAAGGCTTATCTAGTCTCAACGATAGGTACGTACGCTCGAGAAATGTATGTGCGCTAGGAGCTTTGCGCTTCAGTTCGATGGCTGCCACAGAGAACATCAATATCTGCACGCAAGCACCCGCGCCTGCGAGAAGCTAAACCTGAGAATATATTTATACAGTTGCATTGCACACACCATCTGTGGCAGCTTGGGTCAGCAAGCGACAAGGCGATTCGTATAAACATAGAACTCACAGAAGTATGCTCCGGATACACCGTAGCTGAAAGTCCAAGTGCAGCTAGTCAATAGCGTCCCTGCAACAGTCCAGGAGGATACAACAGCGCTAGCGATGAGTCCTGTGTTCATGCTGCGCTTGGCGGTCATGAACATCTCAGATCCCTGCACTTCGTTCTTAAACCGAGCCAGCATCCGGACAGTGTACCACATCGCTGCTGCAAAGAGTACGCCGAAACCGACGCAGATGCCATACCCGGCGCCTTGAGGAAGAGCGGGGCGAACAGTAGACGGTTCTGAAGACATGGGGCGTTCAGTGCAGGTTTCCGCAGCACGAAGTAAACGCTATCTACCTTAAAAACTGCAGCTATCCAGATAGCCAGATATCATACGTAGATAAGCCGCTGTGTCTTGTGAGATTCCGACGGGACGCAGTTTTGGCACGCGCTAAAGCTCCCGGCGGTTGGAGAAGCTGATGCCTTGGGACCTCATGACCAACCCAGGAGTGGAGTTTACGAAGCCGCGTATCAATACGTACGGCTCAAAGACATATATACTCCGATATCTGCTCAACACCAGTAGTCGTGGCACATACGATCGATACAGACAGTCGATATCTAGCAAATCGCACATCCCCCGGAAAAGTCGGCGTCTAGTCATAACAGTCAGTATTCCGGTGTAGCCTGTGAAAAGCAAGTAATAAACCCACCATCAAAGCAGTCACCGCAACCTGGAAAAGAGTGTGAGAGGCTGAAAGACGGCGAGGGTATATCTTGACTGACCATTTCCGTTACTGATGCAAACGCCGCGGCCATCCTCGAAGAAGTCCAAACCATTGATCTTGTTGGCTTTAGTATCAGCACACCAAGAAGGCCTTGAGCATCTGCTCGTGTCTGTGCCTCGTTAGGTGTGTTTCCGACCATACTGGCATAGTAGATGCAGCCTAAAGCATGGTATGTGTGAATGAGTGAGCGCATTTTGAAAGAAAGAAAGAAAAGAACATACAATTCCCATGGCATGCAGTGTTATATGCCACAGTGTTGATGACACCGCTGTCAGAGTTTGAGTAACTGAGAATAACTGAAGTACGGCAACGGACAACGTGAGAGCGGAGACGAAACGTACTGGCAGACGTTGCTAGTACCCGCCCAAGCAGCGGATCACGTCGCGTCGTTGTTCAGAAGAGCCTTACAGTCTGAAAGCGTGGCATCCGCCCTAGTTCCGCAGTGGACACCAATACCAGCAAGAGTGAGTTGAGCAGAGGTCATTGTGAAGTATCAATGGTTGAGTACTTTGTTACAGGTGTCAGAGGTTTAGATTCTGTGGAACAAGGAGAGCTTGCAGAAGCCTTTTTATACCGTAGGCCATCCGCTGAAACGAGCCAGGGAATGCTTGCACCGCCTGGATGATTAAACACGAGCCGCAGAGTCCTGAAATTCCGCAAACGACTTGCAGGTGCTCCCCACACGTCACTACAGGAAATGCTCGTCAGTAGCAAAGTGTTCTCGACAATATGCTGTACCAACCCGACACACTACGATCCGATGTGCCAGTCCTGCATGTCCTGCCAGTCCTGCATGTCCGACGGAGTTCGGATCGTGAAGCATCAGCTCTGCATGAATGCACGATATAGCATGCAAGTAGCAGATGACATATACAAGCAGAGGCAGAAGTCGCCTGCCGGGTCATGAAACAATATGCATCTGCCAATCTCTAGGTGGTGGAGCTGGCCGTTGGAAACCTTGTTGCCAACCTGCAGCGACAAAATACAAGCCATGCTGTCGTCAGTCGTTTGCACTACGTCGCATAGGCGCTACCATCTAATGGTCCAGCTGAAAAGTTGTATTAGCTGCCTGAAATTTCCATCGTGACGCTGGGATGGGGGACGCGAGAAAGGTGGTGGTTGGCGTCACGTGAAGACAAAAAACGATGTGGTGCTTAGTCAGCAACTTTGTGGCGCCTAGATCGACCTCTGCGCTGCGATGTTTGCGCTTGCTTCGTCGCAGGCGTCGTGCTACTCTCTGATGAAACATGGTGAGAGACTCCGCTTACCAGTGCAGACTATTCTCCGTTTAGTTGTATCGCTGGGGCAGTCATGGCCGACAGGTTCAGATAATTATGGCCAACATCAAGCCGAGACTGTCCTTCATGATCACAGTTGGCTGAAGCCAGCCTGTAAGGCTTGGCAGTGTTGAAGATTTTGCGGATGATGAAATAGCATCAACTGCGTTTGCCGGTGTTATTGCGACGAGGGCGACTCCACCACGGCGGAGGGTACCGGATAGCCTCCTACACCGTGACGGCTGCGGCCTGTGCCGCGGACTCCAAGTGGATGAGCAGAGAGTGACTTGTTCATCTTACGCACCAGTGCTTAAGCCATAGGCGTATATAAGTGCCAATTATCTTCTGGTGATTACTACCACAGCTACACCTTTGGTTTCTCTTACCATCTGACTCTCCTCGACCACACCATGCACTTTTCTACCATCTTCTCTGTCACTATTCTCGCCGCTCTCCCATTTGCCATTGCAGGCATGAGGATTTTTGAGCGTGACATTACTGATTCACAGGTCTACTGTGGTATGCAATCCCTGCTCGCTAATCCAGTTCGCGCGACTCAACTCATAACCACGCAGGCACTACTGCGGATGCAACGCTCTCTGATTGTCAGGCCCTAGTCAATCCCAGCACATGAAACTCTGCTTGGGCTGCCGGCTCAAACGTCTGCCAGTACGTGCTGCATTGCACTTATCCTGAGAGGATCCCAAATTTACCATCACTTTCCTACAGCTACATGAATGGCTTGAATTTCGACGAACCTGCTTACAATGTGGCTTGTCACGGAAACTGTAAGCTGAGCTTTCAGCATCAATGGAGAGTTGGAGCTTGATGTCTAAGACTATCAGGCTGCGCCTACTACATCAGCGGCTCCAACACCAATCCGAATTTCGATGAAGATTTGATCAGATCCAGGGCTGCGAGCCTCCTTGGCTGTGGTGACACCCAGAAAAACACGATCAACGGTCTGCAAGTAACTCCAATAGACGGCTCCGGAGTCTGTCTCAGTAACGGTAACGGCTGTGGCGATCGCTTCGATGGTGCGTCCGCCAGTGTGACACTTCCTGCTCACTCTCACACTGTCTTGCTATGCTTTCCGGACGATGACTTCGAGTAGTGAGAACCTTCTTCTCGAGACCTGTGTATTCGCAACCCCCTATGTACTTGACGTGATTCGCAAAGATCCTCTATATATGTCCGTACACGAGCCTTGCTCATACTATCCACTCAGCTCGTTGTAAGTTGTTGCTACATACAAGATTGGGGATTGAGGCACGACATTAGCTGAAGGGCGTTGCGTTTGGATATGGGCTCGTGAACTGCAGAAATGGAGGAGAGGCTGAGGTAAAGACTGCAGCTGGTTTCTGAGTGCGTGTGTGATGATAATGGGTACGAAGTCTGATCTGCGTTCCAAGTTATGGAACTTAGGGACGAACGATGGTTATGCGTTTGGTGGTGGCAAGGCTCAGCCCGTAGAGTGACGGACGGGTCGACGACATAAGTGTGAGATGTATGATGATCTAGCTCCACAGAGCAGTATGAGGGAAGGAAATATAACGCGTCGTAAGCACTTACATTCCAAAGAACGAATAACCCATGTAAGTTTACGCAGGACATCCTCCACACAATCCAGGTATGCAGCCCCAACAGCTCGCAACGCCGATACCCCAGGTCCTAAAAACAAGCGAAATGACGCTGACAACACCCTCTCCCAGAACAAAGCCGCTTGCGATGATAATTAGTCGGATGCCACCTTTCTCCTTGCCGCCCATGCGCTTGTAGTACCAGTACTCGGCCACGCCGCCGATAAGACGCGCAATTGAGAACGAGGGCGTGTTGAGGAAACCAACGGCGAACGCGATGCCGGACGGGATCCATTTCACATAATACAACTCTTTGCGTGCGGCGTAGGTCTTGAAGGCTGCGACGATGCCAAAAATAAGGCCGAAGAGAATCATATACGCCCCGCTCTTCTCGGGCAATTTGCCATCACCTGTGAATGAAGGTGAGTGGCTAGCGTGCTTACGCGTATTAATGATTCTTACGCAGAAGACGGGCCAGACTTAGCCAGACATATGCGGTTGGTGCCGGGAAAGAGGGGCCAGGGATTTGGTACGCCTTCGTGTAGAGCGAATAGGCCGTCGATGTGACCAGAATGGAGAGCGTTGAGCCAATTAACTGTCCGTAGAACTGAGCCCGTGGAGACGCGTGAAGCAGGTGTCCCGTCTTTAGATCTTGCATGAGATCGCCCGCCCTTGCATAAGGTTATGTCAAGGGTGCGCATGTGTCGCTTAACTATGCACTTACTGTTGGGCGCCTGCCTCGGCAACACCGCCAGCAATGATATTGGCAACGACGTTCCCCGGTTGGATCCAAGCAAACAAGAGCTGGCTGATCTTGCCCAGTCCACTCACAGGGTTGAGGTCTGTCTCTCCAAGTGCACGTACGCTGGGAAAATACTGCGTCAAACAAATTTTAGGGTAGTCGATATCAAGCGCTTACCCAAGGACACTCAGTAGTGCACCAACAACATAGCCAATGACGGTAGCCCAAGGCGTAATGCCCTCGTGCCCGAAGACTGCCCATACCAGTATTGTTCCGAAGGTGACACTACCACCGAGACCCCACCATACCCACTTCATGGGGACGAGTCGATCCTCAGTCTCGAACTCCTTGTCCCCAGAGTCTTGGGTATCGTTGGACAGCCTGTAGTAGAGAGCTGACGGCAGTAGCTTCTCTACTATGACCTCGTAGATGACGGGCAGTAGCGAGACAAGGCTGTCCGCGCACATAATCGCGAGCGACACCCAGAGAATCCAGCCGCGTGCACCTGTCGTCATGTCGCCTACAGGTCCGGGGGCCCAGCCGGCGCGCTTAGAGATGGGAGACAGGATGCCCCAGCCAACGAGCATACCCTATGCACGAGGTCAGTAATGAGGCTAGAATTGTGACAGCCAGCGTACCAGACTCATACTGAGTGTCGTGGGGAAACCCATAATGATACCTATCGCGGACTCGTCAGACAGCACATGATGACCCAAAACCAGACTGCAATCTACCTTGACCGACATATGACAAGCTAGGCGTAAACGTCCAGAGCCACTCCTGAGCAAGGTATCTTCCAAAAAGTGGGATCGAGAACACAACAGGGAAGAAGTATGCCAGGAGCTGCCGAGAATAAGTTAAGCGAAAGAGAAAGGTGACACGGGTTCGCACATACAGTCATGGTTCCAGAAGCTGCAAAGCTCCAGATCAACGCAGACCACCCCTCCGGTTGGGCGGTGATGGCTTCAGCTTCTTCAAGTAAACCACCTTCCTCGGCAACATCTGGACTTGTGGGCGGTTCCCGAGCGTCGTCGTCGTGCTCAAGCTCCCTGTAACCTCGGCGCCGGGAAACTGTGGTGTCAGGTGGGGGCAGGTCGTGCAGGACAGAGATAAGCTGTGCCGTCGCAGTTCCGGATGGGAACGCTAGTTGTTCTTCGATAATCTATGGGAACATCAGCTACCGACAGGGTTCAAGGAATCTGTGCTTACCACTCGTTTGCGGAGCGGCGGTGATAGAAAGACACTACGGGCAATGAGATGAGTCATGGTGCATGAACCGGAGGTGTTGTCCGCTCACCCAAAGAACGCGACAGCGAGTGACCACGCTATGGCCGACCACCAGGATAAGTGAATCGCGGGTACACCGTCGCGGGCTTCGTCTAGTAGGCCAAGGGCCGGCAGTATACCGACGAATCCTGCAGCGAGGGGCATCTGCACACTCACAGTGTCAGTATGCGAACGAGGTTTTCGCCAATTGCACGTACAGTACCAGTTGCAGCAGCAGTAGTCTGAATCACGATGTTCTCTTGCGCAGTAATCGGTTTGGGGAAGAACTTGGACATGAGGAAGCCTATCAAGGCAGACTGTAGCGACATTCTGCAGCACATGATATCAATGGATATGGGCGATTGACACACGAAAGACGCACATGCTAATCCATCCCGTCTGTAACCCAAAGTAGAGGTTCGTGAAGCACAGCAGACAGCCAATGAGCAGGCCGAGGGAGACCGCTTTAAACTATGGGTAGGACTAGCTATCAATGAGCTATTTCATGACACGCATGCGTGGCAGACGGCACGTACAGTGAACTCAGCGGACGGAATGCCGCGCAGGTCAACGGAAGACACGGACGGTCGACGCTGGCGCGTGTAGTTACTGCGTCCTCACCATTAGATTGACATCTATATAACATGAGCAAGAGTGCATACCTTATCCACCGCCGCAAGGCCATCGTACGCGCAGGAGATGATGGTCGAGGCCAGGTTTGTACATGGACAAAATGTCGAACTCTGTACTTTAGCGCCACCGCATTACTTCAGCACATGCTCGCGAGCGCCGCGAAACGAAAGTGCAGAGGGTCAAAAGTATTGTTCTCAATTGTATCGTAGACATTTAGTTCATAATATAGTATTCTATTCACAAAAGAACAACAAGAGAGATTTGATAGCCAAGAGAAATAGTTAAGAAATAGGATAACACAAAAGAAACAACAGCCGTGAAGTCCATCGACGCGAAGCTATGCTGCGGGGGTAGCATCGGGATCGCGGTATACCTTGCAAAAACGCATCAGGACGACACCAGGGAGGTGCTTTGAATGCAGACGTACTTTCAGGTCCCATAGGTTGCCGACCTTCTTGTCCGCCTCGTCATCGGGAATAATCGTATCCTCGCTGTCGCCGTTCTCCAGCTTGAGACCACGCTCGTTGGCAAGGTGCAATAGACAGATGAAACAGAAGCTTGTGCTGATGTCCTCCAGCTTTTCCTTCGGATATGATTGCTGCAGGCCCGAGATGACGTTCTCGAATCCCCTTGGCTCCGCCGGGTCTGTCGCTGGCCTGTCGTCTGTGTCCTGAGCATCGAACTCCTCAGTCGCGATTCTCACACAGCGTATAGAGAATCATACCATAGCATCATCATCGTCGTCCTGCTTCTCTGGCACACAATGTCCAGATTCTTCCAGATATTATCTTTCAGCTTCCTGACGTCTACCCGCTTGGCACGTTTGGCGTAGTTAACAGTCTCCGGCCGCACGCGTCTCTTAAACGGTGCTGTGGCCAGCAAGTCTTGTTCACCAGGTTCAGGCATGGCAGTAATGATGTCGCCGCCGTCACCGTCAAAGGCATCATCAAAGCCTGGCGCATCATCATACTCGTCGTGGAAGAACTGCGTGTTGAACGGGATGGCACCGCCATCTTGCGCTACAGACAACAGTATGAGTACAGGTATTTGAGACCAGCGACGGTGTACACTCACTTGCATCCAGATCGTCAGAACCTGAGCGACCGGCTGCCTGATCAGCAGCCGCTTGTGCCCAGAAGTTCTCGTCGACCTCGCCTTCGGGGCGGTCATCCAACCGCCCACGCTGTCCGCGCGTACGAAGCTGCGCGAAATTAACATCATTCCGCGACCATCATGCTCAGAGAAACCTACCGAGAACTTGGGCTTGAGGAAGAGCGTCACGAGCTGCTTGCTCGAGAAATGCATATCGTCGGGGAGCGTATTGTTAAACCGCTTCTCGTCCTTCTCTTTGTCTTTGCCCTTGCGACCCCTCTTCTTCTTGGCAAGCGACGGCCCGGGCAGCGTCAGAGCGGCACCTCTTGACGGGGGTGCGAAGAGCTTCTTCGCGATTTCCTTGACGTTCTCGGCGGACTCTTCGGTGAAGTTAATCTTCAGCGCCTCTTTCTTCTCGCGCTGCTTCTTCGGGGCGGCTTCAGCGGCGTCCGCTGGGCACATGCGTCAGCAGCAGCAACTAATCATTTATGCATTGAAAACTTACGCCTCCGGACGACCTTGCGCAGCTTCCAGTGTTCGGGGCCGGCCCAGTTTTTGAGCGCACCCTTGTCAAAGTAATCGTACATCATGCCACCTTCCTCGTTGTCAGTCATCGCCATAACGAGGTCGCGTTCGTTGGGCGCCCTGCGTGGGTCGAATGGCACGAATGCCCCGTCGGCACCATATTCTCTCGCCTCATCGGCCAAACCATGCTCAGAGCCACCAACGCTGGGGCTCGGCGGAGCTTCGTGCATGTAGTCGTCGTTGACGGCCTGGTCGCCCACAAAGAAGTCCTCAACGGGCGCGGGGCCTCCCATGTCCATCGGAGCCTCGTTGAAGTCGTCGTTGAAACCCGCTGGCTCGTCGCCGTCGCCGTCGTCATCCTGCTCCAAAGCGTGGTCGTTGCGGAAGAGTGTGGTGGAGTCGTCGAGAGCCCAGGAGTCTTTTGAGAAGGAAAAGTCATGGAGCGAATGGCATATTGCCTTCTCTTCGAGGTCGCTCCAATTCGGCAGGAATTGCTCTGTCAGAGACTGTCAGATCAGATTGAGACGTTTATCAGCCATGACACTCACGTCGAAGATTTGACAAGTCAACCTCAGAAGGTGGCTCTTCCATCTCAAGCTCCTCCTCGTCATCTTTGCCAACAGAGTCACTGGCGTCAAAGACGACCCGCAGGCTGCCATCTGAACCGACGCCAAGAGCAAGGTGGTTCATGAGCAGACCTTGGGCGCCGCCCTCGTCGAAATCGGCACAGGTTTTCCTAAACAGAGGATCTACATGGAATTCAAGGTCGAGCTTCTTGTTCCGCAGCTGGGAGATGTCCTTGGCAAGAGTCGATGCCGGACGGTGGGTCTTGCGCTTCTTCGCCTGAACTCCCTCTCCACCCTCTCCATCCTCATTCTCGTCGTCGTCGTCATCGGCACCGATACGACCTTCGTTCGCCAGGTTGCTGAGAAGCTTCCCGGTCTCTGTGCCAACGCTATCTACGCGGCTGGTCCAAATCTTGACGCAACCATCTAGTGTGCAGGAAGCTCGCTGGAAGTTGATCGAGTTATCGGTGTTGTTGCGCAATAGGGACATGTCGTGAAAGTAATCAATGAGAGCAAAGTTCCAGGAGTTTGCTGCATTAATTTTCTGCAACGGTAAGCTTTAGTATGGCAACGAGAGCAAAAATGCCAGTCTCTGGCGACATGTTAGGCCAGCTCCAGCAGAATACGTATCATGGCAGTGAATCGGCAAGATTCTTAGCCGTGAAGCATGGTTTCGCAGCAGCAACTCCTTCTGTGGAGGAGGCAACGACCAAAGCGAGCAAGCCGTCGAGACTGGAGAGGTAGGGACGTACGTTGTCTGTAGCCATCTTCATCCACTCTTCAAAATTCGAGTTCATGACATCGAGGGGAACATCAATCGCAGGAGCCTCTGCGACAGACAGGAGCTGCTGCGTCTGCCTGGCGTGAGCGGCGGCCCTAGTGTCCTCGGTAGATGGTCCTGCCTCATTGTCATCGAGGGGAATTACTGGGCGGGCGCTCTTTCTGCGTCGCCGTTTCTCTGCGGCGTCGTCGTTGATGTTAACAGATTTGAGGGGCGCCCTACCAGACTCGGACGTGAAGCTGCCGTCGAAAACCTCGCTAACACGCTTCCGCGAGGTGCGCTGGGGCTTGGGTGTGGGCTCTTCGTCATTTTCTGTGTCGCCTTGGCTGTCTGAGTCGACGTCGACGGGGACGGCGTCGGCAGGGCGGGAACGTGCGGAGCGATGAGGCGGCATGTGGTCGTCGTGAAAGGGAGACCCGAACAGCGCGTCTACGCGCTCGGACGCGTCGCACGTGATGGGAAGGCCATGCGAGCCGCCACACGGCCGCTATCTCGACCCAATTTCTCGTCTATTTCGTCAGGTCCCTCACGTCGGCTTCTGTGCTCTGCTCATCATTTCTCGGGAGCGCTGACGACTCATTCTTCAGCACCGCCCGCTGACCAATCCTACCCCAACTACTGTCTTCATCAGCTCCGACGTACACGAGTCACCATCACCGAGTCATCGTCATCGCTTTCCCGGATCCGTGCTGCGCGGTGTATACTCATAAAGACCCCCCACCAGTAACTGTAACGTTAACTCACTCGTAACCTATACCCGACATCCACCATAGATCAGATTATACCCTACTACTGTATTCTCAAGCAGAAATCGCAATGGCACGCTACGAACAATATCATGTATTCTCTATTCCGCAACACCTACTCGATACCCTCGTCCCGCGAATCATTGGAAACTTGCCCTCAGCGATCCCCACGTCCGCAGAAGAACACTCACGTCCAACCTCCCCTTCTCCCACCGCACCCTCTGCGCCTGCTGGAGCTCGTGCATGCAACATCTGCTTGGGCGTGATCTTTGCAGATGTGGACGAACAGCGAATACATTTCCGCTCTGATTGGCATCGATATAATGTGAAGATGCGCATGTCAAGCGGAGATACTGTCTCAGAAACACAGTTTGCGCAGCTAGCGGACGGTACGTCCAGTTTTGGATCGTTCTGCCATTTCGCTTACCCTTTTGCGCAGGCCTGGAGGACTCTCTCTCCGGCTCTGCGTCGTCTTCCGAGGACACCGACCAGTCTGATGATGACGCTGTCTCTGCACTGGTGCGGAAAGCCAAACGTTTAAACACCATCCGCGCAGGTGGGGACGAAGACGACGACACCGCCAACCGCAATGTCCCAAATACGCCTGTAGCATGGTTCCATGCACCTCCAGCCACCCAACTCGGCGTGTACAAAGTCATTTTCCCTTCCAGTCTCATCTCGTATCGAGGGGAAGATACCGGACAGCGCTATCTTGAGGAGCTGAGGCATATGCAGAAGGGCGGAGGCGAGGAAGGCAGGAAGTGGGCCTTATTTATGGTCGCGAGCGGTCACTTTGCTGGCGCCATTGTACGCGTATCGAGGCCGGAAGGTGAGGAGGAGGATGGCGGGTTAACGAAGAAGGGTAAACCAAAGAAGCCAAAGCTTGATACGGAAGTCCTAAAGCACAAAACTTTCCATCGCTATACTAGTAAGTTTCTCTTGATCGCCTCACGGGGTCTCTAATCTTGACACTTTCGCGAAGCTCGTAGGAAGCAAGGAGGCTCGCAAAGCGCAAACGATAACTCAAAGAGCAAGGCAGTCAGCGCGGGTGCCATGCTTCGACGATATGGCGAACAAGCTTTGCGAGATGTAAATTTTGTTTTGCTCGACTTCTTATCGTCCTTTCTCTAACGTCGCCTTCCCGTGCAGGATATCCGCAGTCTACTAACAGACTGGGCGGATGAGCTTTATGACTGTGAGCGTATCTTCATCCGCGCAAGCGTGTCAAACCGTCGGATCTTCCTCGATTATGAGGGTGCGGTCCTCGAGAAAGGTGTGCCATAAGATTGCCAGGTGTATGTACAATGCTGATACAAAGACAGGTGACGACCGATTGCGGACGTTCCCCTTCCCAACACGGCGACCAACTCAATCGGAGCTGGTCCGTTGCCTGCAAGAGCTCACGCGTGCCAAGACTTCTCATCTGACAGAAGATGCTCTCCGTGAGCAGGACGAAGCCTACCTTGCCTCACTTCCCAAGCCCAAACCCGTTCCCGCACCAACACCAGCGCAACCACAGCGCAAGCCTGAGAAGCCCAAACTCAGCCCGGAGGAGCTTGCGCAGCTCGAAGCACAACGCGAACTCGAAGACAGATGGTCAAGGGTATTCGAGATGATAGCAAAGGGGCGTCTCGACGCGCTCAAGTCGTTCCTGGCACGCGGCGGAGACGCCCTGGGCCCCAGTGGCGTGAACGCTCAGGCGCCGGAAGATATCGATGACGCCTCCAAGGGGGAGACGTTACTGGTGTACGCGGTGCGCAAAGGCCAGGAAGACATCGTGCGCTGGCTGCTCGAGGATGCCCGCGCAGACCCGACGATCGACGCTTACCGCAGCGTCAATGCGCCCGTGGCAGACAGCTTTGAAGATGACGACGAAGCATCGCGCCGTATTGCAGGCGGCAGCCGACGGACGGCATACGATTTCGCGCGGACGAAGGGCGTGCGGAATGTCTTCCGACGCTGTGCAGCGGAGCACGCTGACTGGTGGGACTGGCTTGGGACGGGTGAAGGCGGCGCGCGGGTGCCCAGTGTGCTGAGTAAGGAGATGGAGGAGGAGCGGGAGGAAAAGAAGAAGGTGCGCAGAAAGGGGCTCAAGGAGAAGATCAAGGAGCGGGAAGCGGTGCAGAAAGAGAAGGAGCCTGCCGTGATCGAGCCGCCGAAGCCAGAAGCCCGGAAAACTCCTAAGGAGTCTGTGGATGGACCCAGAAAGTTGGGCGGCCCATCGAGTGCCGGTGAGAGCGTGATGGGACTGACGCCTGAGATGAGGGCCAAAGTGGAGCGGGAGAGGCGAGCGAGAGCGGCAGAGGCACGTATGAAAACGTTGGGTGGTGGACGCTAGGCTCTGGCAGTCTTTATACAAACACAATTTTGCTATGCTCTTATCAAGCGCATTTCTTTGATAAATGCACTCTAGTAAAGTTCAACGAGACTTCACAAGTTCAGCTAACTTCCGTCTCGTGATATTTAAATTGGCTCCCACTGCACGAAACCACATCGCTTATACATAGCACAGTATTAATCTCAAGTCCAACATTGTTCCAATAGATTCATAGCGTCAGAGTGACAGTTGGGAACTGGGCATATCAGAGCACGATGACCGTGACTCACAGGCAGAAATTATTGAGTGTGGCGCCACAAAGCTACTGACTAAGGAGTCTAAGCGCGGTAGCAAGTAACTCCCAGCGACGCAATGAATCGAGATACCTACGGAGGAGCTTTCTTGCTACCTCATCTTGTCGATCGACTCTGCTGCTCAGCGTCACACGGTAGTAGACGTCCTACTGGTAGTTAGCGGAACCACCAGTGCCAGCAACGTTCCCTGAGGCAATATTAAAAGACCTCAAAAATATGTGATTTGCAGCACACAGCCACTCTAATATTTTCTTTTTCTTTTTCCTGAAGCTCTGACATGCTTGCTGGGCTAGTGCTGGGCCGAATATAATTTGTGAACCGCCATGCTACACCCCGGTCTCGCTTCAGCAGTGCTTAGTCATCCAGTCACTGATCGGTCATTGATCCGATCATTGACCAATCATTGACTAGCTATTAACCAGGCATTAGCTGGTCATGATAGTCATCAACTAGTCATTAACTAGTCATTAACTAATCACTAACCAGTCATTAACCAGTCATTAACCAGCCATTAACTAATCACTAACTAGTCATCGACTGGTCAACCTTTAGTCATAGCGCTAACTACTACCGACATTCTTGAGGTCTGCATCGATAACAAGAGCGGTCTGTTATACATCCCTTCTCGCTTGCGCGTAGATACTTTAGCGGCGTCTTCTCAGCATACCTGGGCCTGTGAGTATCAATCCCTCCGTCTGCTGTGCAGCTGTGGGGCATCAATTATACCGCACAGGGGGAGCGATAGTGCTCTCGCGACATGTCTCGTGTGCGAAATCTCATTCCTACTCAAGGAAACGCCGCACAGCACCGGTAAGCTCGTTGTCTACATCTGCGAGGGTGCTCTCCTTGCGCGCAACTTCCATGAACACTTGACCATCGACCATATTACCATCTTGGTTCACGCCTAGGCTGCGCTTCGAGATGTGCCAGTGCTGCGGGTTTTGGCTGCGCGAGAACACCTCCTGGATGTCGAATTCACTGTAAGGCAAAGAATTTGAATGGCATCCATGTAATGGTATCACAAGCGAAACAAACCTGTGCAGCCGCTCTCTACCGTTAAACAAGTGTTCCGACTTCGAGGAGAAGCTTGGTGACGAAGAAAAGGTGTAGCCGCCTGTGCAGATGATATGCTTGCTTTGTGGCTCCAAAATCTTCGTTACCGGCGTGGCTACGTCGTCAGTCCGCCTACATACCGGCACACTGAGTAGTGCGACAACATAGAAGTCTTGGACCATACTTACTTCTCGCCCTCTTCCACAACGTCCTCAAGCTTGGAGAAGAGACCAACTAGCGCATTGGCTATAAGGGATAGATCCAGAGAATTTCCATCCTCGGCGATCACACCGAATGTCACAATCCCTTGCTAAAAAGCAGAAGGATCAGCCTTGGATGTGAAGGGACCGTGAGCAGATTTACGCACTGTAGCATGGTAGACCCTATGTCGTACCGTCTGCTCAGGATTGGCCCCGGTCGCAAGATAAACGATGGTTGATATGAAATCTGGCTGTGGCACAGGAGTGGCTGGCCGCTCCTCTAGAACAGAATTGTGAGGGTTGGCTATGTTGGACACTTCTGGAAATGCTTGAATCCCGTCCGCTCGGAACGCAAAGGCAATGCGAGGGGTGTTTTCAAGTTCCGCAGTTCCATCGTCACCTCGCGTCGCTTCGACATCACATATGTCGGGAGGGCTACTTGGTGGTGAAGCAGGTAGCGGTATAGCTTCTGGTTTCGTCGGCGATGGGACGTGCGACATCGTACCTTCGAAATCTGACGAGATAGCTTCTTGTAGTGACTCTGCATCGACCTCGGCCTCGGGTCTTTGGGGAACCACCAATGTTTCTTGCATCTTCGCCTCCTGAGATGGCAAAGGCTCCTGAGCGTGCTCTTCTGTAGCCGCTATAGATGGTGACGAGGGTGCGGTAGGCTTCGCCGATGAGGTCTTTGAGAATGTCAGCCCGTTCCACATCCATTTGAGACTGCGCATGTCCATATTCATGTTCATGAATGGGCTCGCCGTGCGAATAGTGTCGTTCAGGCTCTTCGTATTTAAGGTACGAGGAACAGCCAAATCAGCCGCAGGCTTCTCCTCAGCATTGTACGGCTTGGAATCTGTGGACTTATTGGTTGGTGGAGGTGGCGGGGGTATACGAGAGAGTATGTGGCTGATTAGTACGCTTGGGTATCCAGATTCTATTAGTTTGGTCGATGGCACGACAAAGGGCGGTATGAGGAGGAATGTGACGAAAGTTTCCAGGCGTTCTTGAGAGAAGACATCGAGGATGGGGGACAGAGATCGATGCAAGGGATGAAGAGGGACACCTAATGGAGACGCTTTGGTGAAGTGTTCACGAACCAGACAGCATAACGCTTACCTAGATGGCCAGCAAAATCCATATCCTCCTCGAAGTCCCAGCTCCATGCCCATACAGTGAAAAATCTCTCCAATTGAACTTCCAGTGCTTGTTGTCCCAATGAAGCCAGGATGGACGTGAAGGATCCGTGTGTGAGCTGGATAGGCAGTCAGCCTTACTAGCCCCGTGCAGAGTCGCGAGAACGCACTTTGAACTGCTCATAACCATGCACAATACGAGTTCTCAGTGCCAAATCATGAACAGAAGAATCGTAGTAGTCGTAGGCAACCTCTTGGGTGGCAGAGGCCTTGCCCTTGCCCTTGCCCTTGCCCTTGGCGGGCGGCGGCGGCCGCGGCGACTTTGCGAGCTCGACGCACTACCAGGCGCTCTATTCAATCATACTTTCCCCTGCAGTTTATGACACGAGTCATGTAGTAGTTGAGAGATACTTACGGCGTGAAACCAAAAGTTGGGCTCCGGAGACACCATAACCATCCGCCTCGACTGTGAGTGCGTGTTCTCGCACATATCCGAGGGGCTGAACATCCTGCAAACAGAATATATATGGACCAGCCCATAAGAATAGATCTACCTGATACATACCCTGTAAAGTTTACCAGAGCCTTCACGAGACCGACCTGTCTCAGGATCTTGTCCCGGGAGACGGCTCGTTCCCTTGCAGTGTAGAATAATATTTGAGCCTGCTCATCTGCGTCTTCATCGTCGCCGACGATGGGTCCGGTATGTCTCAAAGTAGGGTTATATACAGTGAGATAAAGCAGGCTGGGCGGAACTCTGCTCATCCTCAAACACTGCAGAGAGGGCGGTGGTGGTCATTTAGGAATCACGCTCGGGCGCCCGCGAGCCAGACACAAGGAGCGCCCGGCCGCGGCGAAGATGCTGGGGAACAGCAAATGCAAGATATAATTAGCGTGTAGGAGGTGCGGAGACGCAATGTCCAATATACAGCTGCTCTACTCTACAGATCATTACAGGGCACGTTCCATATTCTACAACGTTCTAAGCTACAGCGTTCAGTACCGCCTTCATGTCGTCGTCCTTCCCTGGTTCCGCCTCCATGGAAAGGTCCTCCTGCGACAAGCTGCGCGAGTTCGACTGCGACAGCCACGCTGCCGGGTCATTCTCGTTGGACCAGTTTCTAGAGCCAGAATCGTCGCTGTCGAGTTCGATATCTTGCTCCTGATCTTGATCGAACTCGGCTCGCACCGACGAGGGAGAGCCTCGCGAGGTGGGATCTGGAAAATCGAATTGCGCTGCTGAAAGTTGTAATGGTGGCAGAGAAGTCTGAAGAATGGGGTCCAACTGGGAGTCCTCGAATGTAGGCGGCTCCAAATCGTCCAGCGGTGGCGGCGTCGAAGCTGGCGAGGTGGAAGTGTTGTCCCAGTCGGTGTGCGGCGGCCTCCAAGTATCTGGACTTATCTTCATCTTCAGCAAAGACGACGTCCCATGACGCCTGGAACCGATCATGCCGTCGTCATCATCTGCCGGAGGTGTAAGCAGTCCAGAGTCTTCCAGCTTTATTTCCGGCAGTGCACCGTCAGGTTGCGCGGCAGGTGATTGCTGGGCGGACACCCGAGCAGTTTGGACGATATCATGAGTCTTGCCTCCCAAAGGACGAGAGGCGCGCCTCCTGTAAAATAGAAGGTACGCATTTTGATTCTAAAACATGTCGTTAGGGGGGTCCAAAGGATAAGAAGAGCTATGAGCGTACCACAGCAGCCTCAGGCCGCGCTGGAGATACATAGGAGTCGTCGAAGTGGTGCCACTGCTGGTCTGCACTGTTCAGAGCATACGCACGATAGTGGCCACCTCCCAAGCCGCCAAGATGCTCGTCGACTGCGAAGAGGTCGTAGACAAGCGGCTCGTCGATATCATCCAAGCCGAGCTCCTTCGGATCTTCGCCCTTCTCCACCAGTCGCGAAGCCACCTTTCGCTGGCCGACCATCGACGTCAGATCGAGGCCGCTCAGTGGGAAATCGACGAAGGTGTCGATCTTGTCCCGAAGGATGCGACTGTTGCTGAAACGCTTCAGGTGCACGACGAGAACATCGGGCACACTCCAAAGATCGAAGCTCTTCGTAGCCTGTTGATGCTTCTTGCAGCGCGGGCAATACCAAAGGTCATCTTCGCCCAGCTGCTCTTTCTTCGTAAATTCATCCAAGCAGTCCTGTAGTGAAATGCCGCGGCTCTTCTTTTGAGACGCTGCTTCGCGCGAAGCCTTGATCTCAGGGTGGACAAACTCTTCCCAGAGCTGCCACTTCGCGTGCTCGTACTTGGGTTGCTCGCCAAAGTAGTACGCCTTGGTGTGCTCGTCAAACTCACAGAGGATGGTTTCACCTTCGTTTAGGACCGGTTCGCCTATCTCCTCGGCGGCCTCCGCACGATGATCTATGCTCTCAGTCTTGGAGCTGCTGAAACTACCGTAGCTGACAGCAAATTGGGACGATCCAGGGCTGACCAACATCTGGAAGAGGCCTTTCTTGAATCCAGTCCTTCGCGGAGCATCGTCTTCTGTGTCCATGGCATCATAGTCTTGTTCCTGGACGACGACACTCTTCTGGTCAACGATATCGCCCTCCTCAGGTACTCCTCCTTGGACGGTTACAATTTCTCCGTTCTCCTTGATCTCCGTAATAGTTTCAACGGTGGGGCCATTCGACAGAGGTATTGGGACCTCCTCCATGGACGCAGAAGCTGAACGAAGCTCCCACTGGTAGAGATCGCGAACGTTTTCAGTCCACCTGCAAAGACGTTCGACGATAAGGTCGTAAACAGCATCTTTGCTCTTCGCTTGCTCTGGAGTCACAACAGTCAAGAAAGGATAGCCAAAATGGCTGTGGTTGCTCCCGTAGGAGACGCGCGAGCGGGAAGGAGTGTCGCACAGGACGACCGGGATGATGATGGGATCCTCATCAGACTTCTTGTACGTACGCGCTTGCTTGGAGTTGCAAGGAAGCTCGAAGCAAACGATGACGTCGTTGTCTGTCATGTCACCGCAGATGATGGTGTCGTCTAGGTTCTTGTAAAAGCGGTGGTTGAAAATCTCCAGTGTGAGCAGCTATTCGGGTGTTAGTCGCACGCAGGTAAGGGGCAGAATGCGCCTTACATTCTCGGGATTCACGTCAAACCAGCGTCCGAAAAGATTTCGGAGGTCTTTGAAGCTGGAGTCTCGATTAATTTCGACCGGAACCTACGGAGTGTGCGTTAGGGGATGGTGGATCAGATTTGATGGGTAGCGCGTACCTTCAGATGCGGTTTCTCTAGATCCCAAGGCACATAGTGGACTGTGTGTTTCCACTTCTTCTGTACCGGCAATGGAAGAGTGAGGTACATGAACGGGTCAAACGTAATGGACACCTGAGCGAAGCTCGTCCACATCAGAACGGTCACGTACGACAAAACATCGACATACCTTTTCGCACTCAGGGCAAACCAGAGTGCTCTGGTACTGTCCCTGGAACAGATCGACAATAACGCTGTCGTTCCGCTTCAAGTACCCGTCCCAAGATTCTCGCGCCAGCGATACGAGCTCCTTATCGCCTCCGCCTTCCCAATCTGGCTTCTCTACGTAGGGCTTCTTGATTATACGATTGAGATCCTCGTGCAGACCATCAAGAAGGAAGGCGACCAACTCCTGAGAGTCATGCTGCTGATATCCGCTGAATTGCGGAGCGAACTTCGAAAGGACAGCTTTAAACTCCCTTGGTGAGTACGACGTCGCGGAGGATGTGGGTGCCCAGATCTTCCTGAGGAGTGCGCCGAACGCCTGAGCAATCTGACCATGCATGCCGAGAGGGTTGTCCGGGTTCAGCTCCTTCTCAAACACACCAGCTATCGGATGCTTAATTACACCACTCTGGACACAAGAAGATACACGCACTTAAGAAGTAGTCTGCAAGTTCTGGCGTATGAACAAGACACTGGATAGCGGAGTTCATGAAACAAGTATTTCCCCTACTCAATTTCAGCATACGCACACACATGGAGAACAAGCGTAGACCCACATATTTCCGAGACCGAGCGTGCCAGGCGTGATAGTTGATGCTTTGGGGGCCGGTCGCGGGTCTTTCGTCTCTCTGATAGCAGCAATAGCAGACTTCAAGGTCGATACCGGCTGCGGCTTCTTGGCCTGCATCTGCGAGAAGAAATCGCTTCCTGACTGGAACAGAGGCGTCGGCTCATTGTCAGCGGGTGGAGTCTGCTGTGAGGAACTCAGGGCAGTCTGCGAGTCCTTCGTGTCTTGCACGAGCCACTGGCCGTCCTGCTTGACCTCCACTGCAAACGCATCTTGATCCTCGAAGACAGAGTCTTCGAAGGTATGCGTGTCTCCCACCAGCTGGTCGGGCGCGTCCATCCGTTTGAATTCTGACAGCGAGATGTATTTGGAGGTGGGCTGCCACTCGCCGAGAGCCCAGACTTTGAATTCCGCATTCGCAGAGTCGGAGCAGACGGCATCGAAGAGCTTTTTGCGGACGTCACGGAGCGCGTCTGTAGATGACACAACAACCTCGACGGGAGTGCTGGGGGTAAGGGCACCCGCACTGTCAGGTGTGAGGACATGTGCATACAGTTTCGGAGGGAACAGTTCAAGGGTGATCTCTTGAGCCAAGCCGCGTTTAATCACTTTGCGTGGTATTGGCGTATTGGGTTCGCCATACCTACATTGTGCGGACTCGAGTCAGCGAAATGTGAGGGGAGGAAGAGCATATATGCTCTCTGCAAGAAACACACCATGAAACAATTAGATCCCAGGCTTCCTGGGGCAAGAACTGAACATCGACTCCTTCAGTTACAGAGGTAGTGGCGATGTTGCCTTTGAAATCGACGAGGTGGCCATTATCCACGGGACCGAGGTCCTTTTCCTCGACCGCACCTTCTTTGTCTACGGAACCTGTGCACGCCTTCTCCCACCGTCTATACCATCTCCGGGACACCACATACCACGTCTCGCCCACGACCATATCGCGCTTCACGAGTGGACTGATCTTCAGATACTTCTCCCGGAGCGTAAGCGGACTCGTGCTCGATGACGAGGCTTCTAGCGGGTTCGTGGCGGTGGCCTCGCCGCTAGCCTCGCCCTGTTCGGCCATGTAGACGTCGACGTCTGCTGCTTGCTTTGCGTCCTCTGCGGGCGGCGTAGGGAGATCGTTCGGGCGGGGCGTGTCATGAGTGTCGAGGCTAGGGTCTTGAGACATGGAGCGTTTTGGTGAGGACGAGGAGGATGCGGATTCCAAGGAAAGTGTGCGTAAACGTTTACGGTTGTTATTGAAGTCCTGGGAAGTCAACGAGGGTGAGGGTGAAGACGATGGATTCAGCATAGCATGCGTAAGTCGTGAAGTCTTAGTGAGGACAGGCAGTACTCGACGCTGATCATTATCAATGGCCCAATAGAATATGGTAAGAGACGCTGGAACTGAGTCTTACTTGGGCATCACGACTTTTTGTTACCCTTATTATCCTGGGTAACAATGGCAGTATACCATTTTCTGGCGCGTCTCCTCTAGCACTGAACGGCCCTTGTGCCACTGGCCTGGCAGTCGTAATCCCTTACGTTGACCCCTGTGTATGCACACCATACGACTTAATTATCAGCCAGTTTGACTATCCCTGCGACCGCAGCCCCGGACGTGCACAGCATAGGGGGCATTTCTCAGGCACCGAAGGACATGTGGCCAACAAGATAACACTGGTCACCGATCCGCCTCTGGTCTCGGTCCTTTCTCCGTCTCCATCCGCTCCGAATCTTCTTGCGCAACTTCCTGCCTAGACGTAGGCAAGCCTGCAGGCCTGGCCGGTCTGTGCGATCTAGACGCAGGGTTTCCCAGAGCGTGTGCCGTGATCAGAGTCTACGACTGGGTCAGTGTGGGATCGCAGCACCGTATATAAGGGACGACGGAATTTGCGGAACCTCGCAACTCCAAACACGTCAGACACGAGACGGCCCAAGAGTCGTCTTCTGATCAATATTGTACCCCTAGGACAATCAGCCGTCGTCGACCTTTATAACCCTCCTGACCACATCTGCGGGACGCGGAGCTCTGTCCTCTCTCTCGACCCATCACCCAGCTTGCGGCCATGTCTGTACAGTGTAAGCCACGGCCTGCTAGGTTCTCCGCGCGAGTCCTCATCCTGATCGGTCCTAACTAGCGAAACACTTCCTCAACAAGCCGGAGAATCTGGTCGTAGAGTCCCTACAGGGGCTTTGCGCCCTGAACCCGAAGCTGGGTCTTGACACTACCAACAAAGGTGTGTGGGTGGTGCGCTCAGGAGCCGTGCGCGAGTCGCTCAAGCTGTCCCACACAGTCCTCTATAACTCGGCGTACGATCGCTCAAAGGTCGCGATCATCTGCGGGGGTGGCGCAGGCCACGAGCCCGCTCACGCTGGCTATGTCGGTGAGTGGTGTGCACGTACACGATCGTGAGCCAATGTGACTGATACACGTCTTAGGCGAGGGCATGCTCGCAGGTCAGCACAATCGATGTCGCAGGTTTCCGGGCTGCAAGACTGACGTCGCTCTTGCTTCTAGCTGCTGTATGCGGCAGCGTCTTTGCCTCTCCGAACCCAGCGCAGGTGCTCCGCGGCATCAACCTCGTAGACAGCGACGCAGGAACCGTCATCATCGTCAAGTGCGTACGGATCGCCTCCTGGGATCTGCTGGATCTGCTGAACCCTATCTGCCAGGAACTACACCGGCGACATCCTGAACTTTGGCCTCGCAAAGGAGCAGTACGCCGCGCTGCATCCGAGCAAGGCCGACAAGGTCAAGTTCGTCATCATCGGCGACGACGTCGCCGTAGGCAGGAACCAGGGAAAGATCGTTGGTCGCAGGTGCGTAAAGAGAGCTGCGCCCGGAGCGCGTTTTTGCTGACTTGCACCACCAAAAACGACAGGGGTCTCGCCGGCACAGTGCTCGTCTACAAGATCGTCGGCGCGCTCGCCAGGCGGGGCGCGAGCCTGAACGAAGTCTACACGACGGCCGAGTACCTCGCGACGCGCCTGGCGACGATCGGCGTCGGGCTCGAGCACTGCCACGTGCCGGGCACGGCCGCGGGCGAGTCGCACCTGGGGCCCACGGAGATCGAGATCGGGATGGGCATCCACAACGAGCCGGGCGCGCGCCGGCTGTCGCCCGTGCCGCCGCTGGGCACGCTCGTCCCGGACCTGCTCGAGACCCTGACGTCGACGGGCGACGCCGACCGGTCGTTCGTGCCGTTCGGGGGCGCCGGCGACCGCGTCGTGCTGCTCGTGAACAACCTCGGCGGGACGAGCGAGCTCGAGATGGGCGCCGTCGTCGTCGAGGCGAAGAAGGACCTCGCCCGGCGCGGCGTCAAGGTCGAGCGCGTCGTCGCGGGCACGTTCATGGTGAGAGAGAGAGGCCCGCCCGCGTCGTGTCGGTGATTCCATATGCGCGTTGCTGACGAGTTCTGCCCGCAGACGAGTCTGAACATGCCCGGCTTCTCGCTGACGCTGCTCCTCCTCCCCGGGCCGTCGGACAGCAACGCGCCCGACGCAGCCAAGCTCCTGTCCCTGCTCGACGAGCCCGCCGCCGTCCCCGGCTGGAAGTGGACCGTCGGCACCGTGCCCGCGGAGAGTATCATCACGCCGCAGGCCGCTGCCACCACGGCGACGCTCGACAACGCAGCACGCATCAAGGCTGCAGACCCCAAGGCGTTCATCGACGCCATCCAGCGTGCGACGGACGCGCTCATCCAGGAGGAGCCTGAGCTCACGAGGATGGACAGCATCGCCGGCGACGGCGATTGTGGTCTGACGCTCAAGGCTGGTGCAGAAGGTAAACACCTTGGTGTCCTTAGAGGACGGGATATTGATCGGGTCTCTCTCTCTCTCTCTCTCTCTCTTTCTCCAGCCGTCCAGGCCGATCTCAAGAACGGCAAGATCAACGCAGACGACGTGATCGGCTCCATGGTCGCGATCTCCAAGGTCGCAGAGGAACGGATGGGCGGAACGAGCGGCGCCCTGTTCTCGTGCGTCTCCCCTCTCTCCACACCTCACCCACCCACCCACACCCACCTAATCAATCCCCTTTCCCCAGCATCTTCTTCTCCGCGCTCGCGCAGTCCCTGCAGGCTCACGCGCCCACGGGCGGCACGGCAGACGCGGCGCTGTGGTCGGGCGCGCTGCCGGGCGCACTCGAGCGGCTGTACACGTACACGCGCGCGCGGCCGCCGTCGCGCACGCTCGTGGACCCGCTCCAGGCGTTCGTCGACGCGTTCGCGCGCGGGCACGGTTCAGACTTTGCCGGGGCCGTGCAGGCGGCGGGCGCGGCGGCGCTCGCGACGCGCGACCTCGAGGCCAAGGCGGGCCGCAGCGCGTACGTCGAGGGCGACCGCCTCCGGCAGGAGAAGGTCCCCGACCCCGGTGCGTGGGGCGTCAAGGCCATCGTCGAGGGCCTCCTCGGGCAGAGTGCCTAGAGGCCGTGTCGTGCTCGGCTGGAACAGGAGCGAACGCGCGCGGAACGGGTTGCGATGCTGTATTGGTAGTTGTTGTACGGCTGGAAAGAAAAGCAGGTTGTTGTATTTTTACCTTGGTGTGTTGGCATGTACCGCAATCTGTTCTGGACAAAAAATATCATCCCCCCTTTTGGACTCTGGCTAGGCCTGTGATTGTTGTCGAAGTTCGAGACAGGTTACGGTCCCGTCTGGCCCAGCGCTCGCACCCGCCAGCACCGACCGCGGGGTCACGGCACTCGCGGAGATACCCCCTGTGCAGCGCGCCTCGTCGGCTACTGGGACATGATGGAGCCTTGCTCGAGAAAATGAGGCGTCGTGCCCTGTGACTTGGTTTTGGCAAGAACTATTCCCAGGAGGCTGGCACGGCAACGTCTGGCGGGTGCCTGACGGCCCCGAGGGTGTCTTGGACTCCGTGGGTGCGCGGTGCCTATCAAAAGCGCCACAAAGTCGTCGGCTGCTGTGCATGGCTCTGGGCGGGGAAAACGTCTGGGAAACTGTTTCTGCAGTGCTCTGGTGAACAGAGCAAAGGTTGTGCGAACTTGGAAGATGAGGTCGAGGAGACGCCAAGCTGCTTTTCGACTTTGTTAAATTATGAGGTTGTCGGATGATATAGTTGTAGGCTCGTTATCGTTAGGTGGCAGACCATCGTCGCTCCCACGGTCGCAACTTCCTGCCCCGGTGCTGGTCGCGGTTCGCGAACAACAAACCGTTGGTGGTACGACCAAGCCACGATGCCTTCTTCTCCGCTCCAGGCATTCCACTCGCGTATGTCGCCCTGCTTCTGATCGCAGACAACCGTCCGCCTGCAATATTTCGCAGGACCAAGCTATCAAGGTTGGGCGACTGCCACGACGTCAGCGCGAAGCCCCCGCAACATCCGCCGGTGACGCAAACACCAGGCTCTACGACACCGCTGCCGTTTTGGTTGCGCGCCATGCTCGTCGGCCGGCCCGACGCGTCGCCAGGGCCGTTGCGCCCCAACGCCGTGCGTCGTCGCGTCCCCGCTTAGGAACGGATAAACGTCGGGGAGCATCATCTGCGCTCTCGTAAACGGCTGGAACTAGTTGAACTAGAACTCTTCCTTGAAACAACTTCCGAGCAGCGCGCGAGAAGCCTGTCCCCTCCGTCGCGCGATGCGTCGATGTCGCGCCATGCCAGGGCCCGACATTCCATATCCGGCGCTCCATCTGCAGAAACCTTGTTTCCTCGCAGCCAGGCTGGGCAGGGACAGCATCGATAGCATGAACCAAAACCAAAACCAAAAAGCTGTGCACGCCTGGGGACGAAGCGGACCCCACGACCCCGTGGGCCTCCTGCACACAGGCGGGGAGGCTTCTGCGTTCTTTCATCAGTCAACATGCCCGACGTGCGGGATGTCATTTTTCGACACGACGCGCCCGGACAAGATCTGTCGCTGTCACGCCAAGCGCGTGCATGCGCGGTCACGAGCCGCGAAAAAAAAAAAAAGGGGCGAGGCACCGTCGTGCGTGTATGCAGAGGCCGCCGAGGCGATATGCCTGGGAGGGAGAGAAGGGACCCGCGTACGGTGCCTATCCGGGCGACGCGGGCGGCGTGACTCTGGGCTATCAGCACGCGCGGAGGGTGGCGGCGGCGGCTCCCGCAAAGTCTGCAGCGCGACAACCAGCCGTCGACCGTACATCCGTGATGTGCACTGACAGCGTGGGCACGGTCCGCGTCTGCGGGGAGAGAATCATGTGCGACGGCCCCGGTGGGCTCGCTGCTAGTGGCAGGCGCGGCCCAGCCCTGCGGGACGCGAAGGGTGCGTGCATCCTCGATAGCTAGAGGGTTGCAGCTGCGCAGAGATACATCCGCGAAAAGATTGAAGACAAGAGCGAAGGCGTACCCGAAACGTCAGCGGACTCTTCATTTCCCGTGTTATTCCCCTTCTGGCGGGACGTCGAGCATGTGCAGAGCTGCCATTGCGCAACAGAGGCTCCGAGTCCTATCTCTCCGCGATGTGTTCTGCGGCCCATCTGACCTGCTGCGCCCTGCAAAGGCTGATACGCTCTGATACTGTCGCAGCAGGCACGCCCGCTTGGGGCGAAACTGCGGTAGGCTATCAGCACACACCGGGGCTCAGTGAGGCCTTCGAGAACACTCGCGCAATTACGTTGCTGCCCGGACAGGCAAGACGACGACACCCATCTTCTCCACCCCTTGACAGGGCTTCGCCGCAGAGCAGGGCAGATAGACGCAGGCGCTTCCCTGCTCAGTGCGCCATCAAGATTCTCAGTGTCGCATAACTGAATGAATACAGTAGGTGACACACCAGCCAGAGGCACTCGCTCGCGGGCAGCTCGGAGACGCCACGCCGCAACCGACACGACGAACGTGGAGTTGGGACAAGGCAGTCGGCAAACCCAGGTGCTAACGCTCGGGAGCTCGGAGCGGACGCGACGTGTATAGTGACCCACTGCCCTGTGGATGTCGAATGTTAACGTTAAGCATTGGCTATCATCTGTGTGCCTGGCTCTCAGCGGCCAACTGAAAAATACATGGCGCACGATCAACTACTGGCTCTAGAGCTTGCACAATTGAACACAGTGCGAATCGCGCGTCGGAGGCGTACCATGGACGACTGCGGGGACGTTCGCGCCAAATACGCATGCTCCAGGATCAGGAGCTTGTTTTCTTCCAATTCTCTTCCGCGCAGGCGAGGGGAGCATCGAAGGCGCGTGTGGGGAAGCAGCAATTAGGGAGTGTAGGTCCCTCCTTGGACTCGGTACATGTTTCGCGTGTCATACAAAAAATAACCACAGCTGCTGAAAACGAGTCTAGGTCCGAGGTCCAGGAAGATCCAACTGCAGGCCTCGGTGACCCACTGGCTGACCATCACGCGCGCTGTGGCACGCGGGGAGCATGATCCACACCCGCGTGCAGCACGAAAGATCCGTTTCGGACGTGCAATTGCACCGTCGCCAGGCACGGCGGCGTGACGCAAAGGCTAAAACTGAGCCCTCCGGCGCACAGCACAGCGAACGGAGAGCACGTTCTCTGGAACATTGCGCGGTGTGCGCCGGAAAGCTTTGCTTGCTTGCTTGCAACAGGGTTGAGCACGAGAACGGGGTACGTTGCCCACGAGGAATGCGAGACACAGCCCGCGTGTGTTGGAGGCGGAGGCGGGGGGGGGGGGGAACAAATATTACAATGCTCTCCAAATATCGCTCCCCCGCCTGCTTGCCCACATGCTCCGGCGTGCGAATGGGATGCCGTTTCGGGGGCTGTAATTTGGCGATCGGGATCGATCTCGCTGTGGGCGCGCTTGAAATTTTGCTTGGGGTGGGTCGCCAGCCTCGAGGGACAGCTCGCCAGAGTTCTGTGCTCCCGCGCGCGAGCGCGAGCGACTGGCGCTGTGAGACGGACGGGGAATAGCGCGTCCTCTTTGGCAATGACATCCAGTTCAAGGTTGGCGGTGCCGTTTACAGGGAAG